ATTTTTCCGGCCATTTTCGATCTCGACCTTTCATCGTCGCCAAAAGCATATCATATTACCCGTAAAAAGTGGCTTTTTTTTCTAGGATCCAGGGCAAGCATACCCGACCGGCTCTACCACTGACCCCCACGATAAGACATAGACCTCCCAAGAGAGAAACTCAAATAAGAAAAAGAGAACAAGAAATGCAATGGGGAAAAGGTCAATTCCTAGCCAAGCACAGGGCAGGGATTTGTTCCGGAAAGCCGCAGCCGGAAAGATGCAGCCGGCCCACCGACGATTTGCCGAATTTTTTCGCGCTCGTGCAATTCCACAAAGCATTAGCCGCCCGGCAAGGTCATTCCCGAGCGGTCGGCGCGCTGGATAAGCCGCTGGTGAACACGGGAAAGGTTGCAAGAATTGTGGCTGGGGGTCAAGATTACAGAGGAAATTTCGGCTAATGTTTCGGATCACGGCGCATTTTAATCGTGATTTTTCAGCCAATGAGACGCTCCGATCGCACATGTTCCGCGTGCACTCGATTTCAAGGATGTTCATGTGCCGGTAAGGGATAATTTTTAATTGGTGTGACTACAAGATCAAGCTCAGGTCTAAGTTAAGCTTTGGCCAAGCCTTAGCCTATGCGAAGCTTGAGCCTAAGCCTACGGGTGAGCATCGGCGTTAGCATAGCTCAAGCCTAAGCCTAAGTTTAAGCCTAGCTTAAGTCGAAGCCTAAGCCTAAGCCCAAGCCTAAGATACTTAAGCCTGAAAGCCTTAAGCCTAGTGTAAACCTAAGCGTAAGCCTAGGCCTAGGTTTAAGTGTAAGGTAAGCCTAAACCTAAGCCCAGCCTAAGCCTAGTCAGATGTCTAAGCCTAAGCCTAAGCCTAAGCCTAAACCTAAGCCTAAACCGCTTTCCGTACCCCGAAATGCGATGACCATACCGCCATGGAGGCAGCTCACTGGCTTTTTCCTCCAGTCCTCCAGAAAATATCTCATTTCCCAAAGCCTCACCCCTGCCTTGCCCCTCCCGCCAAAACAATGAATCCTCAAAGAATATGGCTAATCCGGTAGGGGAAAGTGGCTTTACCCCCCAAATGGGTATTGCGGGCCCGGCCGCATAGACAAAAACAGCAAAGAGATGTGTATTTCTTTACAAGACTCGGTTGACGACACGGATTAGAAGCCCTGGGGGGAGTACCCGGCGGGAAGTGGCTAGCTTCCGGTAGGAAGCACCTGATTTTGGTGTGGGCCTGTGGAGTCAAATCACAGCTGTTAGCTATACTCCCGAGCGGATTAGTGGGGGGGGTAGAAATTGGGAAATACGGTAGTGGATCTTAGTAAATTGTAGTTTATCGGAAACTGCTGAATAGAAAAATCACCAAATACGGTGTCGAAAAATTAGCATTTTTCGACGCTAAAAATTTAATTAATTGTTGTCTAAAATATTTTTTCTGTCTTTTTAAGGAAACATTCCCTATGGTAGAAAAATATGGTAGCGGCAGGTGCATTCTAGAAAATTTAATACAAAATAAAACAAGAAAATCAGGCGAAAATACCGAAAAATAGGATTTTTCGGTTCTCTAAACTTGTGTAAATCCTTTTAAATAGTTTATCCCCTGCTTTTAAATACGTAAAATAGTCTATATAAATCAAATTGTTCAAATTTGCCCTTTCCAGGTGCTGCAACTGGGCGTTCCCGGATAAAACCAGCCTCCACACCCATACGCAGAGCATGCTGCGCAACAACCTCCCCGGTGACGTCCCGGTGTTGGCGAGGAGCAACACGGAAGGAGGTAAAAAATACTTAAATATCTTTTTAATTGGTTTTAAGACCCGATCGACTGCTCGATCCTCAACTCTGGAAGCCCGTTGAGCTTTGGCAGTTTACCGAGAGCCCCAGCACTTCCGGTACCCAAGCTCTTCCCACTTGGTCCTCAGGACTTCTTGATGGCGCGGTTGAAGGCACAGGTGGGTAAAAAAATCACCAATTTTTATGGTGCGCCCCAGCGTACTGTAACGTATCGTAAAGTACTTAAGTAAACCGTAACCTACGCAGGGGTACTGTGAACAAAACTGCCATTTCGCACCGTAGCTTTGCGTTGCGTAATGGACATACTGTAGCGTATCGTAGCGATTGTAACGTACTCAGCGATACTCAGACGTACTAGCAAGTACCTTCCCGTCTGCGAAACCCTCAAGCTTTTCCCGGCGTGTGATTTAACGTTTAAATTTAACTAAGACGTACGGTAGCGATTCCAATGCACGGGAGAGTACAAAGAAAATCGTACTGCATCGTACTAAACGGAACTTCTGCTCGTTAAGTCCCTTTAACCCCGAAATTTTCAGGCCCAGCTCTCCACTCCGATGCCCCAGGTCCCAGTCTCCGGCGCCCTAAACAGTCAATGGCTCGCCAGCTGGCTGACCAACAACCCCTTCGCGCAGCAGCTCCAAATGCTCCAAGCGGCAAGCGGCAGCCCGCTCCTCGCCAGCTCTGCCGACTCCAAATGTGACGCGTCGAGTATCGAAGATAAAATGAGCGACTTTGACGAGGCGATCGAGATCAATAATGAGGAAGAGGAGGGCTACACCAGCTCGTCTGGGGTGAGTTTTTGAGAGGGTTTAGAGATGAGAGAGAGAGAGAGACCGAGAGAGCGATAGAGAGAGAGAAAGAGAGAGAGCGAGAGAGTCTTGCAAAAAAAATTATCATCTCCAAATTTTAGAACGCAACACCGAATTCAAATGTTGGCGCCGATTTGTCTGCTCTCCAACTGAAACAATCGATGAGCCCTCAGGACTTGAAGCCGCGAGTTCTGGGAGTCATTGAGCATACGGTAGGTTTTTAAAGAGCATTATAAAGCCCTTTCGCTTTCATTTTTATGGCCCGAATTTAGCATAAATTTTTTCCGTTTTAATTCGGTCTTTTCAGGGTGGCCTAACGCCTCAAATGGCCGAAAAATCGCTCATTTCCCCAATGTCGAGCCAGCACTCCCCGACGGCGTCGGATTCTCACTCCAGCGGCGCGAGCATGGACACGTGCTTGGAGAACAAGTGCTTCCAGTGCGAAGTAAGGGCCTTTAAAGGGAGTGGGACATGAAGCAGGGTTCCAAGTTGGCTAACTAACCGACCGATCCCTTGAAAATAATAATAATGGATGCCAAAACCTTTTCATCGTTTTTCAATTAGTTTGAGTCGTTTGAACCTTGAAGTCGATGCTATTTTTCCTTGTTTTAGATGAACATCTCCAAGTCCGCAGCTACGGAAGAACGAGCTAAACTCCTTGAAGCCAGGATCGCCGAGCTGCAATCAACGATCGGCCTCCTTTCAAACCAGATCGTTCGGCAAAATGAAGTGCAACAGCAGCAACAGCGAGTAGGTATTTCAATCGTAGCGCAATGCAATCCCAAAATTTCGGATCCTAAAGGTTACGGTAGATGAGCATCTTCTAATTCTGCGTTTTTAGCCGCTCCAACTCCCCTTCCCGCTCCCGTGCATGAATCCCGAGGCCGCCAAGATGAAGGCGATTTTGGAGGGGCTGATGCAGAGCCAAGGAATTGTGCAGAATCTCCATTAATGCGCGGTCAAATCGCTAAGCTATCCTGTAAATACCGGGTTCAAATGAAACCTAAAAATCGATGGGGGGAGTCAGTAACCTAAGCCTAAGCAAAGCCTTAGCAAAGCCTGAGACTAAGCCTAAGCCAAGACTAAGCCTAAGCCTACGCCAAGACTAAGCCAAGCCTAAGCCAAGCTTATGCCAAGTTATGCCAAGCCCAAGCCAAGCCTAAGCAAGGCCTAAGCCTGAGCCGAACTACGTTTCTGGTCGATTTCCGACTAAATTTTCGTTTTTTTTAGTTACTGACTCTTTTTAAACCCTTTTAACACCCAAACTGTATCTTTATCCCTATTCCCAAAAAGCCCAAGACTACAGGCTACACTCTGCTCTTTCCCCAGAATTTGGCCAACGGCCACAAACTCCGTTATACACCCAATTCCACCGTGATCTTCCACCCAAATACCACACACACATTCCGCTAGTTGCAATCCTTTACACGACCATGGGTACCCCACTGCAAAAACACACACAATTCATTGTATTCGTTATCCCATTGACTTACCGTTTTTTTTTGCTTTTCGGCTTTGTTCTTTTTTCCGTATTTTTCCGATCCAAGCCGCCGTGTGCCTTTCCGAGCGTCATTCCGCGATAATCCGCCGCCCCAAACTCCCCCTTCAGATTGGATACAAAAAGCCATTTTTTTTACCGCCCACCCACACAGCTATTCATTAATGCGGTGTCCGGTGGGTGTCGTGCGTACTTTCAGCTAATCTCCCCCCGTTTTTGGTTCCTTTATTATCATTCCACCGGATCACAACATACAAAAAGACATTCCGCATCTGTACACATCATTCCGTCATTGTATTTGGGGGTTTTGAGGGGTTTAAGGGGCCTGTGAAGTCAAAATATATAGTCCAGACGTTCTGCCCCGACTTCACAATCCCTTTAAAAACCTCAAAAACACCATACTCAAAATTACGATTCTTTCTAGCAAATGATTGTGCTTACATATACTATTATGATTTTCGTCATTGAATTATTGATTTTTGGATTTGATAGTCATTTGAATAAATAGTGAAACAAAAATGTTTGGAAGCATATTGCTTGGAACTGAGGACACCCATAAAATGCTAAAAAACAGGACTACAGACTACAGACGAACGTAATAATCGCTTTAGTATCGAAACGCTTACCGTATTCTATCAAAAAAAAATGGGTTTAGCAAGATTTTTGAAGTCAAATAATATTTCAAAAGAATATATTCATAACCAAGTTCTATTTTTGGAATTAAATAACAGGATCCATTAAAATATATTTTTAATGCACGACGTAATCGATGAAAACTGCGGTTCTAAAATGTGTTTTCAAAATTACATTTCAATCCCACTTCCAATTTCAAAATTTTTCATTTAACTTAAGGATTATAGGCACCAAATAATTTGAATATTGCTTCGCCCAAATATTGCTTCAGGCGTCGAACCCATTCGTCAAGTGTTTATTTTTGTAGTAGAGCCCGAGCCGGTCCCGGGCATAGTCCTAAAGCGGAATAAAAGCCGAGATCCGGGTACGTACCGCAAATCCAAAGCCGACTGGCGAGACTTCGAATTGGAGCAGGGCCCAGACACCCCAGAAGAAGTGGGAAATCGGGATGAAGGGGAGGGTTTCCTAAAATTACTAAGATTTTAATTTTCGTTGATGATCCTAAATTGGACAAAGCGAAAGAGAGCGAGAGCGAGAGAAGAAAAAGAGAGAGAGAGTGAGGGAGAGAGGGAGATAGAGAGAGAGAAGTGAGATAAAGAGAGAGATACCGCGAGAGAGATCGAGAGAGTGTAGGAGCTAGAGAAAAAAATAAATGGGTGTTGCCAATTAAACGTAGAGCGGTAATAGGAGAGAGAGAGAGAGTGAGAGAGAGAGAGCATGTGAGAGAGAGGAGTACAATGGGCTACTTAAAGACTCCCGAAGCCCTATCACTTCATGTACATAAATAACTCGAACGCACTCTGAGCATCGCCTCCGCCTTTGCCGGTATTTCCGCTTCTACCGTTCCACCGTACTCCCTGATGTAATTCTGGAAAAACTGTAGCATCTGTTCGGGGCGCGGCATCTTTTGCTCGTCCATCTGGAAAGGACGGGTGATTATTTTCAAAAATCTTGCTTATTTTGGTGTTGTCCCCTCGTGCTCTAAACCCTACTTTAGCGCAAATCTGTCATTCGGAAAATCGGCGGCAGAAAATCCGGTGGGGATGACAATTTTAGAGATGAATATATAGCTTGGTACTCCACAGCCCGAAATGCATCACTTACCGTATAAAACGGGGCCTCGTCACAGTCGTAATCGATGGACCACTCAACGAAATGATTGGCAAAGTCGAAGCCCCTGGAAGATCAGCCTTTTGCTGAGGTCATGAGAGCGAAAAGCTCGCCGATTGCGAAACGGGTGCTAATGGAAATGCCCTGTCCATTTGCAGATGGACTGTTTGCCCAAAAATATGGATTTTCACGTGCGTCAGAGATGATTTTCAGGGGATGTGCGGATGAGAATTTTGGACACGTGGAGTTTCTAGGTAGTCGATGGCGGACCAAAACTGCATTGAGAATTTGAAACGGGGGTTTTTAAAATAGCTTATGAGATTTCGATACCTATAATTCAATCAGATGCACGAAAAAATGCCGACAAGCAACCGCCGCAAACTAAAATGACGATAAGCTAAAATACCGACGACGCGTTGGCGCAGGGTGATCTTTTTGGCAAATGTACACCTTAACTCAAGCGCATGTGCGTCGGTAGTTTGGATGCCGGCATTTTCTCTGATCGATATTTTTGCTGTCGGGATTCTACGTGCCAGTGTTTTAAATGCTGGCAAAATTTACCTATAATTATAGCTGGCATATTCGAAATCGATCAGGACCAGGCGCGGATCCGCGGGGTTGAAGGCTGATAGCGTGTTCGTTGGACCTACAAAATTTAGGATCCGTATTTTGGTCACTTTCTCTGGATATCTCTGTTTCTCTTCTCTCGCTTTCTAGCTCTTTCTCTCTATTTCTCTCGCGCTTTCTTACCGTTCTCAAATTCATCAGAAAGTGATGGTAGCCGAATATTTCCTGATGAGGCCTTGGGCAGCAAAATATTTCCTTCCTGGAGATCATTGTGGCAGAATGCAACGGTTGACTTGGATTTGGCGAGTTGGATTCTAAATTAAACTTTGTATATATATATATTTTTTTTCATTAGTTATTTATTTATTTTTAATATCAGCAAGTAACAAAATGCAACTCACAAGCCGGATTTCACACAAGATTTTGATTCATTCCCCTCCGAAAATGCTGTATATACATAATTATTGAGGCTTGTCCACGTTGTTTTCCTTCAAAATTGCGCGAAAAACAGCGCAACATTATTCTACGATTCTTCGAAAACCTTTCCTCACTACAACCCTGCATAATTGTAAGACTAAAGTCGCTAAGCTCCATTTTCCGATGGTTGAATAGCATCATTCATTTTCGTTTATGGGAAATCCTTGTTTTTCGGGATTTACGGGAGGGGGAAGCGGATGAGCCTGGCTGCCCCGATTTGGGCTTATGATTTCAGATGATTTAAAGTGATACCAGTTAGACAAATATGGCATTTGAGGCGGCTGGGATTTACTAGGAATTGGAAAAATAGTGGGCTTTCTTCTAGGGAAAATTTGGAAATCTTGTTGGGAACCAAAAAAAAATGGTAAGTAAATGTTAGGCAAATTGGCAGAGTTGCATACCTTAAGTAGTCAAATTCGCGGCTTAATGTCTGGCAGGTAATCGGCTCGGGGATGAAGCTGTTGAACTCCTCGCTGAGCTCGAAGGTAGAATCACCGGATGGTGTTTGCATTAGTTGATAGAGCCATCTGAAAAAGTTCCTTATCTCTGACTCTCCCTCTCTTTTGCTCTCTCTCTCTCTCTCTCTCTCTCTCTTTTCTCTCTCTCTCTCTCTCTCTGTCTTTCTCTCACCTATCAAGAGCATCACACAAATAGTCGGGCTCCTTCCAGATCGGCACCTCCAATGTATGCACTTTGGCCAGTCGCTTGGCAATTTTTCCAGACATATGTGGGAGCGAGATCTCTCTGCAGGACAGAGGACGAGACTGAAAAAATTTTTCTTGAAAAATATCCGTGTCTTGGAGCCTACCGGAATGTACTCCTCCAATCGACCTCCCGAGAAGATGCCGTACAACTTTGGGCCCAGATGCCTTTCCGATAGCAAGGTGAAGATCACCGATTCGGCGACCAGGTGAGATTCCGTTTCCGGGTTGAAATAAACGCGGAGTAGGACCTGAAAAGCTTGATCTTAATCCGAAAGTCTGATCCGAAAACCAAGGCTAGGCGTTACATGCTTTAAAGGGCACGTTCAGGGAGGTTTTTTTTGGAAAAAAGCAAAGATTTTTGCCGGGGCTGGGGGTCGAACCCGGGCCCTCCGCTCGGGAGGCGCGGATGCATACCAGTCAGCCACAGCTACAACCCGGTTGGGGGTTAGGGGCGCCCCCCGCCAAAAGAGAGAAATTCCCCACGGCGGGGGGCGGGCCCTACGTCAAGGGGGTTTACTTGGAGGAGTACACGGCCCCTCCCTGAACGTGCGCTTTAAAGGGGTCGCCAAGACTTGAGGCTATGGATTCAGTATATCCGCCCGGACAGCAACACGCAACGCGTACGTTCGCCTTGCATCGCATTGCCTAATGAATTACGATAGTTTTTCGGGACAGAGAGCGTCCCGCGTTGCGTGTCTCATACGCGCCATTCCCTTTAGGCAAACCCATACCAAAAAGCCGGAATTTTTCCTTGTACGCCTCTTTAAAGTGAGTGTTTAGAAAAATTAGGCAAAAACCTACCAAATTTTATTAAAAGTTAGAAAAATTAATTCCATACCTTGTCCGGCTCATTCCTGATTGGCCGATGACGCTCCGATAATTTGCATAAAAACAGCATATTGCTCATGCCACCCCTGAAGGTTATTTAAGATTTAATCAAAAAAAAATGTAGATACTTGATTCTCGAGATCCTCAATTCATCCAGTGGCACATTTTTCCAAGCGCCGCCGAGGAATCTATAAAAAATGATTTCTCAGATTCTGAAAGCACTGAAACCTGGCACAGAGCAAGTGGGTCCTCTCCTTCAGCTCAGTGACCGTATTCAAATCCGTGTCCGGTTCCATCGACGATAGGATCTCCTTCATCCCACTGAAAAATTGAAGAATTTAAAGGTCCGGGGCAATCTTTAGGAATTCTGAAGACTCGAGTTTGGCTCTCCTTCCCGGTGGGTGGCCACAAAAAATGAGCCATGCTCTTACGGGGCTTCCGCTACCCATTTTTCACTGACCGCTTTCCCACCAAACCATGAATTCTAGGGCAAAATGGAAGTAGTGGGAAGGAAGGGAGGCGGTAATTTGTGTTGGAGCTTAGGGGAAAATACGGATAGAGATCGATTTGGCTTTTTTTTTGGAAAGGTTGGCGTTGTCAGAGAGCGAGAGCGAAAGCGAGAGAGAGTGAGAGAGAGAGAGAACGTGAGAGAGAGAGATAGAGAGTGGGAGAGAGCGAGAGAGAGCAATAGCTCTAAAGAGAGAGGGAACAAGGCGAGGGAATGTGGGTGAGCGGGGAAAGAGTGTGTGAAAATGAGCGGCACTCTAAAAAGACCGGCAATTCGGGAACTTTCTCAAATATCTATTTCTGAACATAGGTTCGGAGCTGGTAGTAAAATTTCGATACGGAAATCATATTTTAATAACAATTTTCCAAATTTATCGCTAGTTAAAAACAAAAATAACTGGTATTTCGACGGCTGCTCTTATACTGTTAAAATGTGCTTAGATGAACTTGCTTTGCACGGTTGGAAACTATCAGAGAACGGAAGTTTAATAAGGTCTCCTAAGCCATTCCGATGATGAGAACTGGGCTACCTCTCATGACCCCTAGGAACCGGAAGTAAAAACGTTCTAGGCCCCAAAAAATCCCAAGATGACCACCATCATTGCGCTGGGAGAATCACGGACGCCCCGAGGGGTTCGCCTTGCGCGACGTCGGGGGCAAAATTCGAATGAATAAATGACATGTGGTGGCAACCGGGCAATATGGCCCCCCTCCACCACACCACACAACCCTCCCTCCCTCAATCCTCATCCACAGCCACGAGAGCATAAAATTGGTAAAAAAGGCGGCTGGAGGGATCCTGGGGGCTGAATCTTAGTGATCTCTTGCTTAGGAGGATGAGTTGTGAGGAAATGAATTGGGGTTTAACTAATGTGACGGAAGAAGATCGGCGATTTAAAATGTTGAAGAACCGGGAGAGAGAGCCAGAAAGCGAGAGAACGAGAGCTAGGGTGAGCACAAGAAAGCGTAGGAAAGAACGTTAGCGATTTAGAGAGCGAGAGAGCTGGAGAAGGAAGGAGCAGAGAATGAGCATACCTCATTCTTTTTCGCGCCCTCATTCTTTTCGCGCCCTCATTCTTTTTCGCGCCCCCATTCTTTTTCGCGCCCTCATTCTCATTCTTTTTCGCGCCCTCATTCTTTTCGCGCCCTCATTCTTTTCGCGCCCCATTCTTTTCGCGCCCTCATTCCTCATTCTTTCGCGCCCTCATTCTTTTTCGCGCCCTCATTCTTTTCGCGCCCCCATCTTTTCGCGCCCTCATTCTCATTCTTTTTCGCGCCCTCATTCTTTTTCGCGCCCTCATTCTTTTTCGCGCCCTCATTCTTTTTCGCGCCCCCATTCTTTTTCGCGCCCTCATTCTCATTCTTTTCGCGCCCTCATTCTTTTTCGCGCCCTCATTCTTTTTCGCGCCCTCATTCTTTTTCGCGCCCTCATTCTCATTCTTTTTCGCGCCCTCATTCTTTCGCGCCCTCATTCTTTTCGCGCCCTCATTCTTTTTCGCGCCCTCATTCTTTTTCGCGCCCTCATTCTTTTTCGCGCCCTCATTCCCTTTTTCGCGCCCTCATTCCCTTTTCGCGCCCTCCCCTCTTTCCCTATTTTTTCTCCACCCTTTTGTCATGGCCGACACCGAGATGTCGGATTCCACCGCTGAAATTCGGGAACCGGTGGACCCCAAACTCTCCTCCGCCCTCAACTATCTCAAATCGTTCATCGATAACTCTTCCCCCAACCCCGAAACCAAGGCCGAAGCATTAGCGTCGTTAGGAGTCTTGACCTCCTTTCTGTCGGATAATTTTGCTCTAGAGGCCAACAAAGTCGCTACCACCGTTATTGAGGCGAAAGAGAGGGCCCGGATTGCCGTTCTGGTTGGTGTACCTGAATCGGCGTCGGCCACCCCCTCGGCTCGTAACTCAGACGACCTGAGCTATGTCCGAGATCTCTCAGATGCTATGGGCCTCACCGCCACAATCTACGCCAGTGAGCGTCTCGGTAAACGTGACCCGACCGGTCCCCGTCCCCGTCTCCTTAAAGCTTTTTTTACTTCCTCCAGTGCAGCTACGAGTTTCGTTCGTGTTTTCTCCTCTTTTGGCCGTCGAAGCGATCTTTACAGGAACATCCGCGTTCGCCCGTCCATGACATTTGAGGAGATAAAAAAGCCGCCGGCGCGACAGGCCCACAAGCTCACCACTGACACCGGCAAGCCACGTTGTCTACGCCGGAACCGTTATGCTGAAGGAAGTCGTCGGCCAATTCAAGAAGGAGCAATGGAGCGCCGCTAATCGTGAGGTCATGTTTGAAAATCCTTCTTCCTCCTCTCCTTATCCCTCCTATGCCGCCGCCGCCTCCCTCAAACGCCACGCATCTGCTAGTATCGGTCAATCGCCTCCCCATAAGGCATCTTCCCGTCCTCTCCCTAATACAGCCTTGACTCTAAAACACTAGGTACGCGCGCCGTTGCATAAGCTTCCCCCCGTTCCACTCTCCCACACCAATTTAAAATGTTTCTATCTCAATTGCCGCAGTCTTTGCAACAAATTACTTGACCTTCGCGTTTTTTCTCACTACTGAAAAACCAGACATTCTTGCGCTAACTGAGACTTGGCTTTCTGTTAAATTTGCTGACTTAGACATCCTTTCCAATCTCCCCTACAAAATTGCCCGCAGAGATCGCTCCTCGCGGGGCGGCGGCGTGGCCATCATTTACCGTGACTCCCTCCCCGTAGTTAAGGTCTCCCCCTCCAAATCCTCTGAGATCATCTCCGTTGACATCTTTTTAAATAACGCCACCCATAAGCTTACCCTTTTCTATAGGCCACCCAACTCTAAGAAAGGCGCGCGACGACAAATTTTACAGCGATTTACTAGCCACTTTCGCTCATAATGGACCGTCCGTCGCCGTTGGAGATATTAATGTCGCTTTCTCGCCCAACTCCCATCCGCCCAATTGCCCAGCACATTCCCTTCTCCCTGCCGCTTCCCTGAGGCAACTCGTCGACAAGCCCACCAATAGAAGTGGTACCCGCACTATCGATTGGCTTCTGGCACCAGATGGTCCCTTTTGCACCCTGGTTTCAGTTGTCCCCGCTTTTCTTCCATCCGACCACGCCGCGCTTCATTTCTCTCTCCACGCGTCGGGCATTCCTCAACCGCCCACAGCTAAACCTAGACTTGACTACGCTAAGGCCGACTATGCTTCGCTCAGTAATTTCTTTGATACCTTCAATTGGGATTCTGAACTCTCCGACCACCCTTCCATTGACGCAATGTACTCTCATTTCCTTAGAATTTTACGCAGCGGCATTGACGCTTTCACCCCTCCAGCTCATCCGCCGACCCGTAGCGAAGTACCACTACCTGCGCACATTCGCAAGCTCCTGGACTTTAAGAACAAACTTTTTCCCAGAATTGAGGCGTCACCCCGCCTTCGAAAATCTTATCTTTCTCTCTGCGACCGGATCTCCCATAAGATCCGCCGTTGGGAAGAATATAGGCAACGTAAACTTTTCAACTCTAAATTCGGTAAAAATCTCTTCTCCTTCTTAAAATCCTTTCGAAAAAGTTCCCCGCGTTTCTCCGCGCCTTTACGTACCCCGGGCTCTGTCCTTCCTCTACTTTTTGACAAAGATAAAAGTGAACTCCTAGCTAAAACATTCCTGGCAGCACACTGCGCTAATGATACCAATCTTAGGCCCACCCAGGGGATTCCTCCTCCGCTAATCTCCCGCACCCATGTGCAGACTGGCAACTTTCTCTTCCTCCCCGGTGAAATTATCCATGAGCTTAATAAGTCTAAAATTAGCTACTCCTTACCGTCTGATGGGGTACCCCTATCTTATACAAAAAATTGGCCTTGTCACTTCCCTTGCCCACATCTTTAACCTCTCTCTCCAGCTAGGACAGCTCCCACTTGCCTGGAAACAATCTTTGATCACGCCAATATTAAAACCGGCCAAGTGCCCCAGCGACCCCAAATCTTATCGCCCCATCGCTATACTCCCAACCCCTCTAAAGTTAATGGAAAGGCTCATCAAAAACCGGCTCTCCTTTTACCTCGAACGCTTTAACCTCTTGCCTGAGCAACAATTCGGATTTAGGAGCCGCGCCTCGGTCGTCGATCAGCTCTTAGTTAGTCACGAGGATTGGGGGGCTGCGCTCGAGGCCAAAAACGCTGTAGATATTGCTTTCTTTGACTTTTCTCGCGCCTTCGATACAGTCGACTGTTCCCTCCTCCTTACGCGTTGCCTAGAATGCGGTATTACTGGTCCACTTTTGAATTGGCTACGCGCTTATCTTCACTCGCGCTCCTTCAAAGTTCGCGTAAATGACACCTTCAGCGAATCGTGCCCGGTCCATAGCGGAGTTCCTCAAGGGTCGGTACTAGGCCCACTCCTCTTCTCCATTTTTATTTCTTCTCTTCCCTCTGCCCTTGCTGACTTCCCCCGTGTCTCAATTAAAATGTTCGCAGATGACGTCAAGTTATACATCTGTTACACTCGGGGAGAAGAAGATTTCGCCCATACTATGCTACAAAGTGCTATCTCTAGGTTTCACACTTGGGCTTCCACGAGCGGTTTATCCTTTTCCTGCGAGAAATCGCAAATACTTCACTTAGGTGTATGGAATCCTAAATTCACCTACTTCCTGGGCCCCTATCAGCTTTCTTCCGCGTCGCATACCCGCGATCTCGGTATTGTCGTGACCAATCGTCTCACCAACGATCATACCCTCGAGCAACGTTATCTGAAAGCTTCACGCGCCATGTATGCTCTACTCAGAAACCTCAAAATTCGCAACCCGGCGCTTTTGGTTAAATCCTTCAAAGCTTATGTCCTCCCAATAGCCGAATTCGCCTCCCCGATCTGGTCGCCTCGAACCACTTTCTGGCGCGATAAGTTTGAAACCATACAAAAAATTTTCACTCGCCTTGTGTTCCAACGCTGCCACCTCCCACCCCAGCCCTATCCCGTAAGATGTACTTTCCTAAAGCTAAAGTCTATGCATCATAGACGCGTAATTTGCGACCTTATGTACGGCTTTAAGATCCTACACGGACTGTGTCATGTTCCCCGGGCCGCCATCTTCACTTTCAAACTAGGCTTTGGCCGAAATAAGAGACTTTTATTCCACGTTCCTAAGGCCCGGACAGAATCGCGAAAATCTGCCTTCTCCTCCCGAATTACACGCTGGTTCAACCTACTTCCACCCGGCATAATAGCTAAGTGTAATCCGAAGTCTTTCCGCAAGCGCATCTCTAAGCTCGACCTCTTTACTATGCTAAAACTTAATGCCTAAATTCAAGCCAACCTCTAGCCCGCCCTTCCCCCTCCCCCGCCCCACTCTTATAATCTACAGCCGCTTCGCCGGCTTTCATTTTTAGATCTTCTACCCCGCCCCAAGTTTTCGACTTCAAATCCTTCCGCCACGAACCGCCAACATTGTGAAGCTCCTACCGGCACCCCGAAGACTTTCCCAATCATCCACCCATTGTTTCCCCCTTCCACCACCTCTCCCTCCACCACCCCCCACCTACATAAGTTTGGTCGTCCAGTTCAGGTCCCTTTTATCCCAACAGTTCCTTATCACACGCAGACGTTGGAGGCCTCACCGGGGTAGTACAACTCAGCTGTTGGGATTGTCCTCTAAAGGGTCCTTTTTCCGGTCTCCCATCTTATCTACCCATACTCTCCTCCCCTTCATCCAGCCCCATGTCTTTTTGTCTTTTTATCTCCTCCTCTACGCCCCTTCCCCATACCCACCCACCACTCCTGTTTTCATTTTAAAATTTCTACAATATGTGCACCGTCTCCATTCTGTGATTCTTATACTGTTTCTTTTACGTTGCTTCCAACGGCGCCCAGCGCATGATAAATAAATAAATTAAATAAATGAGCGTGAGAGGATGAGATAACTGGAGAGAGCAAGAGGACAGTTGAGTGAGGCAGAGCGAGAGAATGAGAGAACGATATTACGAGAGAGAGAGAGAGAGAGAGAGAAGGGAGAGAGAGAGAGAGAGAGAGAGCACGACAGAACGCGAGAGCGAGGGAGACAGACAGAGACAATCTGAGAGAGAGGACCATTGAACGCGATAAATATTTCTCTAATTGTTAATAGGTTCACGAATTCCGGAGTTAAAATGACGTGCCAGACGGCCCATGTTGTCTATGTGTTCCGTTGTGCCAAGTCATTCCGGTCCCCCCCCCAAGGCTTCAAGTGCCTCAAATACAACAGACACAGCCGGCGCCCAGACTTACACGCCGCCCCGTCGACCACCAATAACCACCCAAAAAAACCTACCGAAAATGGCCATCGGCGATGCGAACGCGCTTCGGCTCGTCGTCGGACTCGGCGCTCATTTTGCTCTGAAAGGTGAGCTGTCGGAAAATCATATCGGAGGCTTAGCAAGGGACATGAAATCGGGCGTTAGAAAAAAGGCTTGGCCAGTTCCCACTGGGCTACAAATTGTTAGGGCGCTTCATGAGAGCGGAAATTAGTAGAAAAAGAGTACCGCCGCTTAGGATGTTACTCGAGAAAAGGATAAGTTAATCTGATAAATTAAACAACCTCTTTCAAACGGTAGATATTGGGCTCATAAATGCCTATTAGTGCTTATTCTTTTAGGGACTCTGGAAATGAAAATGTAGCCAATTTTTAGGGCCAGAATCCGGACGGAAGAAGCCTTAGCTTGCAGGCGCATGAATTTTTGTATTTTGTGACTTTAAGCGCATAATAACGTGTGCCAATTGAATAAGCGTAATTTTTAACTGGTAAGAAGCCGATATGTTGCGAAACAGGAATATTGGAAAATGAGCGTCAGAATTTTACACTGGAATTCAATCTCCGCGGCAGCTTTTCCGGCTGACTAATAAGCCAAATACTAAAAATGGTCTCTGTGATACTAATAGCTAGTTATACAAACTCAAGGAAAGACGAAACGATGAAAGTGAAGTGCGTGTTTCTGGGCCCTTCCAATAGACAAATAGAGGCCCCATGTCTTCTTGTCGAAATGTTGAATGACGAATGAGGGTGGGAAAAGATGGGGAAAACGTGAACAATGTTCAAGCTACTGAAATACGATCCTCATGCGAGGAATGGTGGCCGTTTTTGGTGCCCCAGGCTGTCGTGGCCAACGCCTTTTTGCTGGATCGATGTTTGCGGTGGAAAATGGAAATTACACCCTACGGTGGCTGGGCCTCAACGTAGTATTTATATGATTAAGTGCAGGAAAACCCGGTTAAAATTGCAAGAAGGGAAAAATACGAAAAGCAGCTCACCGGGTCAATTCTGAATTTTGTGCAATTTTCCCTGTTTTTCACGAAACTAACTTGTCACAGCTCAATTCCCTCCTTGCAATTGAATATCAGCTCTTTTTATGCTGTTATAAGCGTCTTTCTAGGTGAAGATTACGGCTAAAAAAACGTCTACTCATTGCAAAAAAAATTTTTGAAGGAACTCTTTTTGAGCCTTAAGACTAATTTTAGAATATTTTTAGTCGTTACATAAAATATAATAAAATTTTGAGTATCGAAATTAAAGGATCGTTTATGGGCTTCGTAAAGGTTATTTTTATGTTGTCGTCAAAATATCGAAAGCCATGTAGTCGACATTTCACTGCGTCGAAATTTTAATTTTCGAAAATCCGAATACGCTGACTTGAGATTTCAGTTTTCGATATCTTTGAGATGCGCAAATGCCGGCAAAATAAAGATTCGGCATTGAAATGGACCATTTTCCAGACCGGAAATGCACACGAACCACGATTTCTAGAATTCGAAGGAGAAATCTCGAAAGTCTTTAGAAAACCCCTCCAATCCCTTGGAACCCAGTGTTCCGGATCTTATGGAAATCCCAGAAAAACGAATTTTCGGAACGCTGCTTCAGCAAATACAATTTAGCAAATCACATAGACCAAAAACTTGAATCCGCGATGCAAAATTTGAAAAATCCGGAAACAGCCAGAAGCATTGTTAGGGGGGTTGTGTTCGGTTGGGCCGCGCGGAGCTTTCTTCCCCGTCCGTCTGCTTCTCCCTCCGGGGGCCAATTTCTCTGGCCCTTTTCGGTTAGGGTCCATTGGACGGCTTCTCCCTCCTCCGTTGCCATTCTCCTCCACATCCACCTCGTCTACCCACAATCGATACTCTTTCTCCTCTGGGACGTCTGTCCTTCTCTGTCTGTCTGTTTGCCTATCTTTATGCCAAAAGACTCCTCCTCCTCTTCAGCTTCCAGCTTTGCCTTCAGGGGTTTTTTGGGAGGAAAAGCCGAGATCCCAAATTCCGACCTTTGTCAGGGGCAGCCGGGGGCTTCCTTCCGGGTTTGCAGGAGCTCGTGGGTGGGAAACAAGCGGCTTCTTGCGGGTGTGGGAAGTTTTGAATGGAGGCCTAACAGCGTTGGAGCCACAGATGATATCGGCTCCAACATGAGAAACGTGAGAAAAGTGAAAAACACTTTATCCAAAAGAACTCTGAACTTGTGACATGGTCGCCGGAAGAAATTATGGTAAGCTAAAGTGCGCGCTACAACGAAAATGGACTCGAAATTTTCTAAAACCGCGCATTAATGGAAAACGGGTGCGTCCAAAGGGTCATTGAAGCCAAGAGACGCTGTGGATTCGTCCAGATATTCAAACATGATTGATGTTTCCAATTCTGGTTGCCTGAAGATCTTAGCGCATCCTACTATTAGCAATATATAACTAAATTTTTCCATTTTGAAATGAGTAAACTTTTGGGGGTGCACATTTGTAATTTGTTCAAAAATTGCAAAGTCAATTTTCTTGGCGATTCATGCCGATTTTGGCCTCACTTTCAGGCAATTTCGAACTGTTATCAGTTTTTTTCCGAATTTCAGGGTGTTGTTCAGAAATTAAAGCTATACAAATTTTAGCATCTTAATCTCGTGGTATCTAGGTGTTTTTCACTCTTCCCATGTCGAATTTCGGTAGCTTACCGGTAGCCATAAGAATACCCATGATATGACGCGTTCCAAATCCCGCCGTCCTTGCCCCCGGTGTGCATAGGCGGGTCTCGTAGCCCTGGTGTAACTCAAGGACGCGCGCGCATGTGTTTGGATAAGCCGATCGGGGAGGGGTAGAATACCCGGAACCTACGTAGATTCGACTCTTTAAAAACTGGAGGACTTTTTCGACGTCAACAGGGTTAATCCGACCCGAGTAGTTTTTTTTATAGCGATAACGAAACGACCGAAAAGAGCTGTTTCTTATCAGCGCTGTGTAATCCTTGGTTTTGTACTTTCTATATTATTTTAGAGCTTGGAAAATATGTATATGGATGTTTAGTAACGCTGGGGGTAGATCTTACCCTATATTCTATTGCTATTGCCCAAACCCTGACAACTTTTGACGCGTGTCATCTGGTCGATAGCCTGGGGCAATCACCCCATGGCGCCATAAATGTTGGTCCAAATCGATTTGCCGATATTCTTTGCCCGGTTGCTAGCTAATACCCTCAAGACTTACCCCTTATTCGCAAAATTCATGTCCTGGCTGAGGAAGGTGCAGGAATTTTTCGATTTCAACGAAATTTCGAACGCGAAAGCGCGAGGTAAGGAATTTTTTGGGTATTTTTCTTGCTGACGCGTTGATTTCTCTACGTTACTGGGACGATTTACGTTTTATAATTGACGCTGTAAGGTTTTATGCGTTTACCATAAAGTGGTAAATTTAGAAAAATATTTTTACATTGTTTTCTATAGCTTTTGGAGAAACCTCGTTAAAATCTGGAATTTTTATGGATTCTTCACATAAAAACTATTCGATTTGCGAAGCTTGTCGGTTTCCTAGAATATTTTTTATTATTAAGCACTTTAGAAACTTCGAAACTTGATTTCCTCTATATTCAATCTAAAGCACCACAGTTCCGAATTTCGCGCAAAATTCCCCTGTCCTCGCTGACGTCGAAGGTCACTTCTTCCATTCCATGACCTAGCACTCCAAAAAAAACGTGTCGTCAGCCCGATCCCAATCTCTACCTCCCCCGCCAGAGGATCTGTAGGGCTTATGCACTCGTCGTGGCTCGGCTCGGCTAACTGGTTTCGCTGCGTTTTTTTTGGGGTAGCTGGCGGTGGAAAATGTGGCTGACGCTAAATCACACATACCTGCCTCTATTCATCGATTTTTTTTGTTTTTAAAGGGCATAACAAGGCATAGATGGGCATGAATTTTGTAGATTTTTTATAGATTTTATAGCCGCCGCGACACGCCACGCGCGAGTCACATAGTGAACTTGAAGGGGTCGTAGTCCATTACGTCAGAAAAATCGGGTGTTTGGCATCGATTTGGGTCTAAAGGATTTTACGGGGTAACTCAGGATTTTGTTGGTTATAGATTTCTGTAGATTTTGCCGCAACCGCGACACTCAACGCGCATTACGCAATGAAAAACATCCTGATTATACTGCTACGTGGCCGGGATAGAACCACCTGGATTAGCCATAGAAATACGTAGCGGACGCGTGGCGCAGCGCTCGAGCCGGTTAGTCAAAAATTTTTTATTTTTTTTTTAAAAAAAAATTTTATATAAAACCTAAATCTAAAAAAATAAAAATTAAAATAAAAAATTAAAATTTAAATTAGGTTTTTTAATTTTAAATCCCTTGAAAAAAAAAAAAAAAAATAAATAAAATTATAATTTTTAATTAAAAAAAAAATAAAGAGAAAACGAAAAAAAAAAAATAAAAAAAATTATTAAAAAGAAGGGGGGAGGAAAGGAAAATAATTTTTAATATTAAAAAAAAAAAAAAAAAAAAAATCCGGTGAAATATTATATATTTTTTTAATTCTTTTTTAAATTTTTAAAATTAAAAATTTAAAATAAAAAACTAAAAACAAAAAAAAAAAATTTTATTTTAATATATTAAAAAAAAATCATAACAAAAAATAAAAATAGAATATTAGGAAGTAAATTTTATTTAGTATTTAAAATCACTTTTAGTCCAAATTAATGCGCGTAATATATTACGCAATGGAAATGCGGCGCATCGCTTCGAGCGAATTTCGATGACAATTTAAATCCAAGAAGGAAGGCCTTTAAAATTCACCCCTTGCTCCACCGTCCCTTTAAAAACTACCGTAACCCACTTGGATGCCCTCGAAATCGGCGAATTTCCGACAATTTTCCGCAAATTACTTCTCCCCTCCGCCTACTCGGGTTTTCCCGAAAATTGGGGGAGCGAACGGCTGGTGGTGGTGCATTTACTCCCATTGATAACCACCAACCACATCGATCTCTCCTCCCTTTTTCTTGCTGTTTTTCCTGCCTTTGTCGTGGCTGCTGAAAAGTGCTCCAGCAACAGCCTGGCAACCGAGAACGCCCGGTTCGGAAACCTCTCTTGAAAACCCACTTGAATGGTCTTTCAACACGACTTTTTAGAGGCCAAAAAGTGGCCAATGGGCCGTCGTAAAGCGCATGACTCATCTGGTCAAATAACCCCCCTTTTTGCTGGCGTTTTGCACTTTGTAATCTGATTTAGTGATTAGCACCTGTTTCCTCTTTTTTCCTCTTTTTGTACCACGTGATTTGATGGACGAAAAATTGGGGCAAGAAGTGGTGTGCTATTCATCAAAAAAAATTGGATTTTATGATGGATACTCGGGGCTTTCGAATGCTTTGAGACTAATTGCAGCTAAGGTTTCTCTTCCTTTTCTGTTTTTCACACTTCTTCACCATTTTTACCAGTTTAAACTTGATAAATTTGATAAAATCGAAAAGTTCACCGTCTTCCATCGATTGAAACTTCAATTTTTGGTCTGATTTTGTTTTCTAACTATTAACATTAAAATTAAATGTTCTTAAACTATAATTACAATGAAATTAAATATTTCCAAGGCGTTTAGACCTAATTTTAAAGGTTTTCTGCCTTAAAAAAATCGAAAAATTAATAGTTTAATTTGGCGCGCAATTTTACTTCTTTTTAACTTCCCATCTGATTTTAACTAGCTAATTGCTGACAATTCGAACTCAAGTGTCTTTAATTCGTATTTTTTTAACGGATTGATGCTCTAAATAGGTCTAGGAAATTGATAATTTCCTTTTCGTGGTTAGTATACTTTTCTTAAACTTTCCCAACTACGACCAGGTTGCTTATCAAATTGCCCTCATTTCCAGCACCACGTCAAGCCGGGCCGCCGCCGACCCCGGGCCCGTCGTCGCCGCCCCGAATGGGAAACGCGCATGGGAACCAGCGAGGTCGGTCTTTACATCATCGCCTCCAACAACAGTTTTTTTTCTGCTACAAATTTCACCGGCTTTTAGGCCTTTTTCTCGGCTATTTTCACAATTTTCAACTCGTTTTTCTGAATCTGTGGTTTGTAGTTTGTCGCGGTCTCATTGGGTAAATAGTAGCTTTTAGACCGGGCTCCGAAATCTTTGTGGTTAACTCAAAAAATATTTTCTCTAAAACGGGAAATATAGATTTTGACGACTGATTAGATTAAATCTTAAGAAAAGAAACCTTTTTATCATTTCTTCATTATTTGTGAAACTTTTCCATACAGCTTTCGCAAAAATGACTCAGCCGCCTTGGCATCGATTTGGTCCTGATAATCGGCCTTTTGTCAGTTTCACCCGGTTGTGCGGGTTATTTTCTAAGCCAAATTTTTCATTTATTTTTATTTCATTGCATAATTCATCTTATTTTCATAGCTATTATTTAGTTTTTTTTAATATTTTAAATTGTCGACTCGCATCCATCCCAGTTTCCCTCTCGAACTTTGGCCAACCTAAAACTCAGACAAACACTCTCCAACCTAGGTCCCAAAATATGAGCCTCCTTCGCGTGGGCCCGGCAGGCTTTTTTGATTTTTGGGGGCCCGGAAACGAGCCGGGGGCCGACGGCACGTCAGTGGCTTCTCCCCCGGGTCAAGCCTGCCGATCGAGGAGATCACAGCTGTCCGGCCACTTTTCGGGTTTGGCGTTTGTCTGTCTCTTTGAAAACGTTCTATCGGTCTTTCTCTCGCCTGATCGATCGTGTGTCGGATTTTGCTGAAATAGCTCTCTCTCTCTCATTCTCTCTCTCTCTCTCTCTCTCTCTCTCTCTCTCTCTCTCTGGCTCTCCTCCCTCCCTCTCTCTCTCTCTCTCTCTCTCCTCCCCCCCCCCCCCCCCCCCCCCCCTCCCCCCCCTCCTCTCTCCCCCCCCCCCCCCCCCCGAACAAACCTATTCCTCCCCTCCATCTCCTCGTTCGTGCTCCCCCGGGTCCTGCTGGTGGCTGGGCAAAAACGAACGAAAAGCGGTGAATTGACTCATCCGACTGGAGGCCATTATGAAAGCGGGCTGGGAACCGATCGTCGGGGGGTGTAAGGAGGAAAAGTGGTACAGCAAAATGGGGGGTCTGGAGAGGGCCGTTGCCTACGCCATTTTGGCCTAGCTAGCGGCTTGCAAGCATGCAATTTCGGTTTCCTGTCTCGAAAACCAGATTAGACTTCTTGAATCGACCAATTAATTCTAGTTTGGTATACTGCTTCCAGTAATGCTCAGAGCTGCATAATGTATTGCTTAGGATTGAAACGAATTTGCACACCTTTCCGGTAATTCTTTCGGCTTTATGGAACTGATAAGACTGGATTTTCATACGGATTTTCCACGTTTGAAAATAAGTGGTTAGCCAAGTCCGCAAAACGCTCGCAAGCCAATTGACGGCTAGAAGGGTTACGTCAATAGCGTTTCAGTTACGCAAGGGATGGCGGCGAAATCTTCACCTCACTACACAAAAACCTTCGCTAATATTTTAAGCCTATTCCTTTTGTAAAATTCCAAAAATCCGAATATTCCGATGCGATACGATTTTTGACCGAACTTATGCTAAACCCTGTAGCCGCCTATCCTTCAGCTAGCGTTTTGGTTCAGGGTTCATAGCTGTTTCCGAGTTATTTGCTACCCCCAAAACCTGTACCAACATCCACTCAAAGTGCCGATCTTTTTTGGGAATCCGGGGCCCCGGGGAGTAGACCTGGGTCGTGTCCAAATCGCGTGATTTGTCGTACCCGCTACTCGAGCGTCTCGTGCGAACACGCGGATCAGCGATCAGGTGTGCCCTTTGGTGGGGGGTCGCAGCTTCAAAACAATCAGCTGTTGGGGCCCAAAACTCCAGTGCTGGTAGTAGCTCAGTTTCTCCCTCTCTCTCTCTCTCTCTCTCTCTCTCTCTCTCTCTCTCTCTCTCTCTCTCGGCTGATCGTCAACAGCTGCACCCCGCTTTCATCGGCTTTGGCCACCTTTTCGCATTCGCCCTAAAATCACCCGGGACTCCCCAGCTTCACGTAAATCATTTTGGGAACCTGGCTTTGAAAGTACAGGACTTTGGCGTTATTCTATAGCCATATTTCACTTCCGCTTCGCTGTATTCATTGCCTTTGACATACGAGTACCATATTTCCTATTGACACCTTTATCTATTAGCTAAAAAGTACGAAACACTACGCTAAATGGAACCTCGTATTAATCGTCACTCGCTCTTCGGGACCACTTCCTCCGATCCAGAGTACACCACGAGTGCGTTCCCCGGCCAGGGCGTGACCCTAGGCCGACGCGATCCGAGTCCCTGGAGCAGGAGACTCGTCCTCAACACTGACGACGAGGAGGAACCCGTAACTCGAAGGGTCGACAGCTCCAGCAGCAGCCAGGGCGCTATGGACTCGAGCCCTGGAATTGACCGACGTCACCTAGACGTTCCTACCATCGTCCACCGGCGTCACACCCGGAGCTCCACAGACAGGAGGCGCAGCTTCCATACCCCGGAAGAGATGGAACGGCGTCGCTCGTACTATACTGAAGAGCCAGTGGCGTCCAGACGGGCTTCAAGGTCGGACCTCAGCGCTTCTAGCTCTCAAGAGGATGATGCATCGACCTCTACTTATGCCGCTCGACGTCGATTTTACCTATCAGAATCGGATTCCGATGAAATTGCTCGTTCGGCTTATCAAGCATCACAACGGACGTCTGAGGCTAGGAACGCAGGAGGTCAAACCCACCCCGTCGAGACTATTATTCTGGTATCGAACGCAGCCGAACCAATTCGGATAGCACCTCGGATGATGAGAGACGCTCGCCCTCCGCTTACAGCAGTTGCAGCTCGGTGAATGAGATTGTCGACCGGTTCCGGGACTACAATCGACGGGTTAGAGGTATTGTAACGGATTGGATGGGATTTTGTGTATAGCCCAAGAAACCACGCACTAATGACTAGCCGAGGTGAAGATCAAGATTTCGAAATTTTGATTTTTGTTAAAGTACGAGCGAGTACGAGTACGATAATTACGAGCCCTTACATTGATTTTTGTATGAGACGCGGTCCGGGTTTTCTCATTTTTCCACATTATAGAATTGGAAAAAAACCGGCCGCGCACTAATAGAAATACTGAATAAAAATGCGAAAACCGGAATTTGCCAATACCGTATCGAGGATAGTAATAGCTTCCGCAGCCAAATTTTATAGTTAGGGCTGAATGATCACTTTAGCTAGTATAACATTAATGCGCTTGTTTTGCGGATTTCACTATATTTCAGCTACGTATTTCAACACATTTAAAAAACTGCTTTAGAGCACTTTTTATCATGTTGACAAAGTGCTAAATAGATATCAATATAAATAGATTTTGGGAATCGGCCAGCGGAATTGGTATCGAAACGGAATTTGTCGCTGAATTTCGCATTTCGAGCCGAAATCAATTTTGCGAGTCTGGATAAAATTTGAATTTTTGTCAGCATCTTTTTTGTCTTTTTAAAGCACCCACCCGAATTTTTCGGTGCATAAAATGCACCATGCTAAATTTCGCCGCCTCCTCAAGAGCCCCACATCACCTGGAAAGCTTTTTCTTCCTGATTTTCCTAGGCCCGCGCCCCGTAAACAATCCAATCCAATTGCGCCCCACATATGGCCCAAATTTCGAGGGCTGCTGCTTTTACCCTCACATCGTCAAAGCAGTAAGTGGCTGTCTGTCTATCTTCGCGAGGTCGTGCTGTCTGTTTTTGTTTTTGGTCCCCGACCTTCGTGGGGGAGATCGTTGTTCGGGCCCGGGACCCGGGGCACGAACGCGGGCCGAAGGAGAACTGCCCGCAAAACAAGTGCTCGAGTCGCCCGCCGGGGCTCGGGTCTGCGAGGGAGATCAACACGGTTCTCAAGGAGGGTGGGGGCCTACTATCAATCAGCTAGAGGGGTGGATTGGTTGCGGACACGTTTGTTGACAAAGTGATAACATGACAATTGTGGGAATTGGCTAGGAATTGGTATCGAATCGGAATTTTTTGAATTTACGCAGAATTTTTCTAATGTTTGACGGCAGATTTAGCATCGAGGATTACCTCTCCTACTCTATGTAATTCTATATTTTTTATTTTCTAGAAAAATAGTTTTAAATCCCGTTCCTTACGAGCACTAAAACTCACGGCCTTTTAATGCCATTGCGCCCCTAAAAACTACTTAGTTAGTGGCCGCATCATTCTACAATTCGTGTTTTTTCAGATATGGTCGTCAACTCCTTCGCCGATCTCGACGAGGGGATGATGATTAACCAGGGTACCTCCACGTCGAGGCAGCCACAACTCGGCTTCCACTCGATCCACGGCCAGAATCTCATCCTCCAGGCGAACACCCGGATCGCCCGGCGGAAGGAGAGCTTCTGCAAGGGACTCGCTTTTAGTAATCGGTGAGTGTTTTTGGACACGTAGCTGTAAGCCATCTTTAAATGAACACAGAAGCGCCACAATCGACCCTTAGTTTACTAGGTCAAGAAAGATACGCGTCGTTACAAATTACATGTTGTTAGCTTAATTTACTGCACCATAGCGAACACGCTGATGCAAACATCCAGACTCATTTGCAAGCGGAGTTTTTTAGCTTTTCCGTAGATGTCTAGACCCAGCGATCCAGGGGGTCGATTACCGTGCTTCCTGGTCCCTTTAAAGCGTGCTTTGAAACTCAATTCAATGTCCATTATTTAGTCCTATTGGAATCGATGAGATCGTATGCCTTCGATTGACTGAAGTGACGATGAACTGGTCGGGCGTGATGCGCTTCGGCGTCACGAGCGTAAATCCGGAAGTGTATCGAGGCGGAACGATCCCAAAGTGAGCTTAAAATTATATAAACCACTGAATTTAATGGGATCTCTCTTTAATGCCAGTTATACCCTCAAATTCTTCAGATTCGCTTGCCCCGACCTCACCAACAAGGATGGGTACTGGGCCAAGGCGGTCCCGGAACGATATTCAGTCGAGGGCAACATGATTCACTTCTACGTCACTGAAGCCGGAGAACTGTTCTATGGGATTAATGGAGTTCAAAAGGTGGTACTTTGGTCAAGGTTTAGAACCCCATGATTTTAGGGCATCTTCCTGACCAACATCAACGTCGACACACCCCTCTGGGCCATGGTGGACATTTATGGCAACTCGGTGGCCGTCGAGTTCGTTGGTGGGTAAACTTGGGAAAACATAGCAGGTGTTTTGGGCAAATACACACACCCGTATGGTGACAATATTGACGCGATTTCCGGTACTGTAAACCGGGAAAAAACTTTGGTGGTACAAAAGGCGCAAACTTTTGACGGGTTTGTTTGATATTTATGCGAATTTTCGTATCTTGAACTCGTCTTGAATTTTATAATTTTGTTTTTTAAAACCTCAGAACCCATACACCTTTAAAATGCCGCAAAGATGCACCTCGCACGGGCTGACGCTTTTCCCCCACCCAAGTTTTGACGGCATGTTTGCCTCCCGTTCACAGCTCTCGAGACGGATCGCCGGGTAGATGGGTGGCGGGCGGAAGGAGGGGGAGGGGTTTGACTTTGCAAAAAGTTGCGTGGATTGTGGGCGTTCGTGCAGGGGGTAGAGGGTAAAGAACAAATGATCAGGGCTCCTGATTTCACGTTAAAATCGACGTATTTCAAGAATCGAGGGATTTCGTGAACTGGAAAATGCTCCCAGCACCGAAAATTTCGTACTATGATATGTTAAAAGCAGATGCCTAGATCAAATTAAGAGACGCTAATTGGGAAAGATAAATCTAACACTTCTTTTTGAGGCAATTAGACGTCAAAGGTCGAAGTTAGGAAGGCGCTGACATCGGAAATTGACTATCTGCCAAGCGCCAGGCGGCCCAGAATTTGCCTTCGCCGTTCCCCTAAAATTATTAATATCCTTTTATAATACAACCTTAAATCAAAAACAAAAGAAAAAACTTTATATAAACCCGATCCTAGACGATAGTCGGAAATTTTGCCTTATACGATCTTTTATGGCGACAAAAAAGGATATGTTATACAGCGAAATTTGGATGAGCAATAATTGACTTCTAGGCAAGATTCAATACCTAGAAGCTACTTCAGAATTAGCTTTTCGCGACCCTTTGCAACGACAAAAATGACGACACAAACTAGGCAATCAGTTTCGCCTTTTGAGCAGCGGCCGATGAATCAATCTTCAGATGACAGGGTTCTCTCTCTCTCTCTCTCTTTCTCTCTCTCTCTCTATGCCATAGATGACTCACATTTTGTCATACCCCTCCTAGTGTATTCGTCAGTATTTGTGCGTGTTTTTATGGTCCAGAAGAGGGGGTGCAGACCGCGGCGCGTGTGTTTGAGGCCATTTCCTCCTTCCCCCTCCTCTACACCCCGAAACAGCCCCAGGGGTTCCCAATCCGGACCATCGGCCACCCCTATTTGCCCACCGCTCCTCGCGACTTTTACGGAAGGCTGAAACGCGCCGCCGCCACCGCATTCGATCACAGAATCGAGTGCGTGGCAGCAGCATTTTTCCGCTTTTATTCCTATTGCCTTTTGGGGCAACGACGCGGAGGATGGGGGTGCGAAGCAGACGGAAAGCTGGTGGGTTTTGCATACATCCTGTCGTTGAAATATGGTCGAATTTTCTATGATGAAAACCGACTTTTGAACATTTTTAAAGGTTTTGCGACGAGTATTGGTTTTGAAAATTTTCAATAACGGGCACCATCAAGACGTATCGCCTCAAAAATCCAAACTTTAACAGCCATTTACAGCTAGTTGCCATCCAAATACCATAATTTGATCTCAACGCCATTTGGTTTTTGTGGACCCTGGCACAAATCTTGTATTTTCTGACTTACTACACAGTCTTCGCATCAACTGACCCGTCTTGTCGGCCCGTGTAAACGTGCCGGTTTATTTGCCCAGCCCGGTGGAAGCAGCAGAAGAAGAACAGAAGCTTTTCTTCCCGATTTCTTAGTCTTTCGCGTCCATGCTTTTGCCTCCCAATTTCCAAACGGCTACTATTTGCCTTACCGCCCCTCTCAAAAAAGCTGGCCCCCGGCTTGGCAGAAATCAGTCCCGGGATCAACCCGTTCCCCCAAGGAGAAGCGTCGATTGACCATTGGTCTATTGATTTCGATTTTTGCATTTTTTACCATTCAAAGTATGATCTCGTGCTCTTTTTTTAAGCATTACGTTTTAAAGGAACGAAGAAGGCAACGTTTAGTAATTTTTCTACGCTTTTAGCAAACATATTGTTGCCGATTGACTTCATTGCTCCTTGAAAGAGCCTTTAAACGGACCGGAAAAGCATGGCTATGGATTTTTGTGGTGGATCTTCTACGGATTTTGGCCACACATGACGCGATCGCGTTTTTTTGGCAATGCGCAATCGATTAGGACGCCCTTTAGCTAGCCCGGAAACTCGGGAGTCGCGACTAAAAAGAATCAATATACCATACATAGCCTCTACGGCCTGAGAATCTATAGTTATGCCTTGCCGACTCCTTTAAAAATACCTCTCTCGACAACCTACGATCCGAAATTTTGGCAGTTTATTCGCCGCATATTTTTATTTTTCCTTAAAAACGCGTACGAGCCCGTATTTTCCAGAACCCTAGCCGTTCGGAATTTTCTGGAATTTGAGCTCATCCACCCCCTAACTATACTATTTTCTGGCGGCTCAAATGTCCCGTCAATTCCGGCCCACCTGGCTGCTAATGCCGAGCCTCAGCCCCGACGAGGACTGTAATCTGATCATCGATAAATGCACCCAAATCCAAGGGGAATACAGAAGGGCTAGGCAAAAGGCGTTGGATATCGAGGATGGTAGGGGGGATACCTTAAAATTCACTTTTACCATCGTTTTTCTAGATGTGAACGACGCGAAGTTGAGGGCGGCGAGGTCGTTGATCACGGCCACTGCACCAGCGCGACCCGCTCCTCCGGTTGTACCTCCGCCACCGACTATTCGCCCGCCGGCACCTATCGCCTCTTCGTCGCATTCGAATGATGCAAATGTCCGGAATAATCTTGGTGAGTATTATTAATTTTGAGCTTTGAAAAGTAACTAAAATTTTAAAATAAAAACAAATAATAACCTGCTATCAGGATTCCAATAATAAAGTAGGTATTCGGTAATAAGTTTTTTGATAGTTATGGTATACTTTCAGTTATTCTAGGTGTCTTAGCGCCGCTGATTAAGTATTCGAAAATATGTTGATACGGTTATACGTATTTAATGTATCCAAGTTATCTTGCCTCCCCCCGTCCCGGAACCCCACACCGGCTAGCCTATACCTCTTTCCCCTGCCTAGCCGCGCCGTGTGGGCGTGGCCTAATGGCTAACCCTGGGGCCTCCCGCCCGCAAGGCCGGGGTTCGACCCCCCGCCGACGCAATGATGGCTATAACGGAAATGGGACTGAATCCTTGTGATGCCAAAATCAAACTGAGCAACCTTTTGCCGTGAAAAATTCTTATCTGTAAGAAATACTCGTGGCTTTTTCAGGCGGCGTCGAGCTCGATCTCCTGCAATTCCACAAAATCACCGGTCGCCACGTGAATTTGAACTCGATCCAGACGATGGCGACGAAGAACCCGCACGAGTACACGCAGGGATATGTGTTTACGGAGCGGCCCGTAAGGCTGAATGAGAAGGTGGTCGTTGAGGTGAGTGACAACGGAGTTTTTGATGCAAATTAACATAATTTGGAAATCTTAGTGCCTTTGAAAAGTGATCAGGTGATACAAAAAAATTACTCTTCGTTAGGTTAAAGGGCTCGTGAAGCCAAGAATCTAATCTATCAAAACCTTGATCTTCATCGAACCAGGAGACTTTCTCTAAAAAAATTTTCGCGGCGCCGTCCCTTTAAAGCCGTGTTTAAGTAATTGAGCTAGCCTTCGTACTTGATGCCCTAACCCTAAATTTTTCAGATTACCCACGTCCAACCACTCTTCACCGGAAGTCTTGCATTCGGAGTAACATGTTGCAACCCGCAGTCCCTGCAGGGCAAAGACCTCCCGGATGACTCGTATGCCCTCATCGAGATGCCCGACTACTTCGTGGGAATCAAGGACGTCGCCTTGAATCCAGTAGCTGGCACGACGCTGCAGTTCTGGATCACTGCCAACGGTAGCTGAAAACTTTACGTTTTAAAGATCGTGGTTTTAGGTGAGGTCAAGATGCAGAAGGACCAGAAGTCTGCTAGGACCATCATGCACGTTGACGCTAGTCTTCAGCTTTACATGTGGTTTGACGTTTATGGGGAGACGCAAGGATTACGGTTGTTGGGTAGGTTTTTAGATATCTTTCTCTTCCTCTCTCCCACTCCTCTATCTGCAACAACCCTTGACTTCAGGCTGCTGCCCACTGGCTCGTGCTCCAAGCACTAGCACCACGGCCGCTTCCACCCCATCTACCGCCTCCACAGCGATGCCAACCCGGGTGGCTCTACCGGTGCTCCCTTCAACAACCACGCGACGTCGTCCTGACGGTACCTTAATTTCTACCATACCTTTAATTACCTTTTCTTCAGCAACGAGCCCTGCCCGCGACATGGCCCACTCGAACTCGTCGCCGACGCCGTTGAGGGTTGCGCTGGAGGGGTTGAGGAGTTCGGAGTCTGGTGAGTTACATTTTATCTTTATTCGGTGAATTGTCGAATTGCGTATATAACGTAGCCTTCATCGATATTTATTTAACTTTTGAATTATAGCCTCCGCCTCTTCCCAACGAGCTGCTCCACCTCCTCCGATGCGCGGCTCGAATATTTTCGATTTGGTTTCTTCTGATTTGCCGCTTGGAGGCCCACCAGCGTTGGTCCCGAGTGGAAGCTCCTTGACGTGAGTTTTAACTTTATACTGTTATACGAAACTACCAGTCAACAAAAAGGTTGATCTTGGCAATGTCATCCCTTTCCATTCCTTTTTTCAGACCTACCCGAATCTCCTACACCGGCTCTCACGATTCCAGCCCACAGACATCGTCCACCAACCCATTTGCGCCAACTTTGGTAAGGATTTAATGGGCTAATCGAATACCCCTGTTTCAGATGCCTCGACGAACCTCCCCAACCACCCCCACCATCCCTCCACCTCCCAGGTTGCCGCTACCACCCCGTCCGGCTTCAGAGTATGTAGATTTTGGCTCGTAAAATTCTGTATTTTAGGTCCCCGGCTCGTGCCTCCCCGGCAAATCTGTCGATGGCTTCTTCAATTTCAACGAACACCTTCATGTCGGCGCCGGCCGGTGGAGCGGATGATGGTGAGTGAAAAGAATTCCTTTAAAGGAACAGTAAAGGCTAACTTACATCGTTCTCAAAACTATACAAAAAATTTAAGTTTCGTTTTATCGCTTTTCGGCGCCCCCGTCAATTTTAAAGGGACTGTGACGTCAGAAAATTAATCGTTTGGCGATTTACAAGCTATACATTTTTGGTAAAAATTATCGCGTAGTAAAAAGGGCAAAAAAACAAGATCAAACAATTTTATTTGCAAAGCTTCACGGTACAATATCATACTCAATTTACCATACTTCCGCTTTGAGCGTCCTTTCAAATGGTCCATTTTCAGGTGATGAAGCTGACGAGTGCACGATTTGCATGAATGCCAAGATCAACTGCGTTATCTACAAGGTTGGTTTTATTTTTTAGGGCCACGATTGGGAAAGTGTTGCCTTATCAGGGAATATTTTCCTGGTATCCAACCCTACATCAATCATTCTCAGGAGCAACGCTTCCTTATTCCCTATTTTCGTTCCCGGTTCACACCTCGGGATCCCCTAAAAAAATCCCCCAAAAATATCTCTCCCAATGTACCCCTCAAAAACAATTGAACGGTCAGAAACCATCAGCTGGTCGTGTGTGGCGCGTACGAAATTCCTGAAAACGCCATGAGCGAGGGAGAGAGAGAGAGAGAAATAGGCAGATAGAGACATTCTTATCGTGTGGAACGGCCAATTGGAAGAGCTCGAAAACCGCGATTCGACTCGAAATCGCCGGCGCGCGCTCTCTGAGGACATGTGACAAACAACACATTCCAACCGATTTGCCCAAAAAAAGGGGATCGGACTCATCGTCATCATCATCACCACAAATCGGCTGACCTTTCCTCTCCTTCTTGGAACACCGCTGGCTTACGATGAAAACAAAACCGAAAAAACACGGTCGAGTTGTGGCGTCGCGCGTAGTAAGCAAAAAAACTGCTTCCAGTCCGGGTTGTATCGGGTTTTTGGCTATGGAAACAAAACAGGACAAGGCAAGCACGAGGTGTCAGTCGGAGTGTAATGTAGTCTGGTAAAAACATCGTACTTTCAAAAGTACGATCTGTCCAGAAATGCCTAATAGCGTGATAGTAAATATTTAAAAAGAAATTCTCTAAAAATTGGTACTTAAGAAAAAGAAGCTAATTCCACTTTTTCAGTGCGGCCACATGTGCATGTGCTACGACTGCGCCATCCAGCTGAAAGACCAGCGCGGCGAGTGCCCGATTTGCCGTAACGAGATGGCCGACGTCATTAAGTGTTTCAAGTCATAATAATACATTTTAATACTCTCCTTCCCGATACTTTCGACCATTGCCTTCACTTTATGATATGGTGCTACCAAATTATACCTATTTTACCGACCCCTGGTACCGCGAAACGGCTCCGTTTTCCATCCTATTTTCTCCTCGATTGCTCAACACCAATATTTCTTGCCCAGAACTAGCCAACCCTCCGCGCCGAATTGATTACATACACCCTATTAGCCCTAGTCTAATGTTTGTCATATTTAATTTAATTTTGATTATACGATAAGTACCCCATTTTTTGCGAATCCTTTGTTTGTTGCCTTCTCTTTTATGATATTTCTGGCTTCTCGCGGGTTCTGTCGAAGCGGCTCTACTCGCAGGCATAAATCCGTTTTTCTCTCTTTGGAATAGCCTCAAGGACGCATGTGTGGATAAATGACAAATTAGATGGGTTCAATCTCCGTTTTGCAGGCGGAAAAAGTTGGTGATCGGTCGTTATTAGGATTGTGGGAATCGGGTCAGGCCGGTTCCGGCGAAAAAAGCCAAACCACAAAGTCTAGACAGAGAAAAGACAATCATATCGGAAAAAATACAGATTACAGGGAAAACTACAGACTCCAAAAATATAGAGATTTCTACAACTAATACTACTCGGAAAATACTATAAAATACTACAGAGAAAAAAGTCGTGCTTAAAGGACTCGGCGAGTTGCCATAGATACCCCATTAACCTAGCAGCTCGCGACACGCGACGCGTCCACTCCCGCATTGCTACACGACAATCGTCAACAAGCCAGCTGTTGCCCAGCTTCAAAATCTGTTTAACGGAACTTGCAAGTGAAAGCGATACATTTTTACTAAGGTCCAACATCCAAAACCTTCCCACAAAAATGACTGTCTCGCCGCAATCGCCGTAAATCCAGTGTTCAGAAAACACCAGTGACCTTGACAAAAGCGTAAAAATTCAACCCCGAAGTCGTGAGCAACGTAATGGTGTTGTGTTCGGGGAAGACGATAGCCCTGTAGTGGTTGGGCGAATGAGACGGAGCGGCGGTGCCGTGGATGACACCTATTTTTCGGTGTTTGATGGACCACGCGCTGCTATTCTCGGGATATCTGGGCATGTGAACGGCCGGTTTCGTATATAAATGACGGGATCGAGAGAGATCCCCACAAAACAACTGCACTCCTTCCTTGACGTGGGTTTTTCCTGGGCTTTCTCGCGCTGACCCTTCTATCTTTCGAGACATCTGGAAATTACTATAAATGGCCACAACACTATGACCATGCACTAAAAACAATCGTCCTCTCTTCGCCCGAATTCTCCAATGAAATCCCGCCCAAATTTGGCCAAACAAAGCCCAGCCCGATCCGCAAAGTCTCCATTATTTCGGCGGCTGAACCCTATCCAAACAAAAAGCTACATCGCAATTGTGCGCCCCGCGTTCTTGCCCCGCTTGAACCCATCATCATATCTTTTTTCCTAACGAGCAACAGCTGTTTGGGCGCCGCCGCCGCCACAAAATTATCCACCGAGCATGAGCTCGGGCTCAAGATTGGCACGCAAAAAAAATGTCGGCATGAGGTTCTCGCATTTTCGGCGGTCGTCAAGCTTTTCCTAAGCTCTATATCTCTCTCCTATTTTTCAGGTTTCCTGATCCGGAATGAAAGTTATTTTGGCTAGCTTTCACTAAACACAAGCTGATTTCCAAGCCTTCGCAAGCTACTCCTAGGCTTCCGGATCGGCGTTTTCCGATTTTCTATTGTTTCCGATACGAAATAGAGTACGGCTTTTCTATGACGGTTTTTCAAGCTGATCTCGAGGGTCTCCTAACCGGGATCGGGAAATAAAATATCGAATTCTAGCCTCCCAGACGCTGACTTCTAAGCTCTGAGGCTTCTCCGAGTCCTCATGATCGACTATTCAACCCAATTTTCATAATTTTCCGGATCCGCATCAAAACAGACTTTTCCGTCCGTCCACCATCACCCTGCGGCGCTTCTTCCCCATCCCCCCAGCGCTACCATTCTCCCATTCTTCTCCGCCAAACAAAACGGTTGTTTGTGGATGTTTGATGGCGCGGGATGGGCGCGGACAAATGGCCGACCACCCACAGAACACACAGAAACATGGCGCGCTCCCGGGGCTAATCATCGGAATCTCGGATGAAAACTCATTACTCCTTAGCTGTTTGCTACTCACGACAATGTGATGTGCGGGAGAAACAATATAGGCCGTAGCACTGTGTGCTTTACTCATTCTGAGATGGGTTTGGTACCTTGTAGATACCTCATGAGTTTTTGAGGATCTTCTCCTTCTTCTTGAATTCTCACTTCAATTTCATCAACCATAAAAACCACCCGATTCTCTAGAAAATCACGATATTCTTCCTCAAATTGTAACAACCCTAACCACCAAGCTTCATCACAATTACGAAATCACACGTCCCTCCTAAATCACCGACTCTCCCGGTTTCACCGCCGGATGCCCCCCAGACATCCCGGCGCCGTTTCTTGCAATATAGACCCCCGGATCTCGTCTCATCCTCCCGCCCGTTTTTCCGTGCCCACCAAATGATTAAGCACCCCAAACGGGGCCACCGTAAAGCCTACGACTTCCGGCCACCACTGGAAATAGGTGACAAACTTTTTTTGCCTGATCCCCCGCCGTATCCGGCCATAGTTTTTCGGGGCGAGGGGGCCGGAAAACCCGCATGGGGAACGGCGGTGGGGGGAGGTCGTTGGGCTGATAATAAAAAGGGTTTGAAGAAGGCGGGAGCGGTCATTTGAGCCTGGGCTTCTAGGGTTCGGGCTTGACTTTACGGAACTTCGCTCCCTTCTAGAGGCTTCATAGCAAACTTACTGCGTAGATCCACGTAAGAGTTCATATAAGCTCCGTTTAGCTAGCTTTAACATGGCTTTTGGCTCAATTCCAGACAAAGCGAAGTGTACTAAAATACTCGCAAGATCAAGGCGAACCCTTTGGTATACGTTAAAACCCTGTAAGACGCGAAGGAGTTGCGCTACAAAAGTCAGTTTGGCGGTGGAGGCTATCTGCCGCCTTACCTGGCTTTGCCTCCCAAGGAACTGCCAAATCAGAACCCAAATTTGCCATCGTAGTGGCGTAAACCCGCCGTTCACTCCTACGATTCCAAACCGCCATTTCACGATCCACAACGTCACTAATTCGACTCCCATTTTGTCATTCAACAACCACCGACAACCCCGCTTTGAGAGCCCAGCTGATCGCGGCGTTCCCTTTTGCAAATGTGGAGACACAATGTCTGGCGGTCATCGCCTCGCTCTTTGCAAGCAAAGCACCCCCGAACTGCCATCTATCATTCCGAAATAGCCCACTTGACAAGCTCGGGTTATCACACGCGCCGAGTGGCGTTCCCTCGCTCCTCCCCCGGGCACGCGCTCCGATTCGAGGAATTCCGAAACAGTGCCAAGGCGAGGCGCACTCTTCAGGGTGCAACTCGCTGATCAAGCTTCTCTCCTCCAATTTCAACTTCTCATCAAGTCGCAAATTCTCCAAGCGACAGTAGATACCTTTAAATAGTTGATCTTGCGCGCCGCAGAGCCACAAATGGATGCTTCTCTCGCCTAGGGGCAGGTTCTCGTCATAATACTTGCCGACTGGGCACATTCCTCGCAACTCTCCCTGTAGTATATAGGTCAGTATCGTAGCGTACGATAAGCACGTTCTACGATCCTTTCACTACACTACTACCGAAGGTTCCAAACATGCTTCGACGGTATAGGCTGATAATGCCGATTCACAGAATGCCGATTTACAGAATGCCGATTTACAGAATGCCTATTTTACAAAATGCCGATTTACAGAATGCCGATTTTACAAAATGCCGATTTACAGAATGCCGATTTACAGAATGCCGATTTACAAAATGCCGATTTACAGAATGCCGATTTACAGAATGCCGATTTTACATAATTTGGGTTCTACATCCAAAAATACAAACCCCAGAAATCCCCAGAAAAGACATTATCCGACTTGGACATGGCGAAACCGCCAGACCTGAGGCCTAGCTTTACTATGTTCTTTTTCTTCAGAGAAATCCTAGTTCCACGTTACCAAGGGGCCGCCCATGGGTTACTAAATTAAATTCTTCTATCAAACAGTTTCCCTTCCTCTCGACGGAGGCCGGGCATTCTCAACCAAGAAATAATAATGAATCGTCGAGTTTTGCCGCTGCGGCTGAGCAGGTTTGGAAGTGTCGGCGACCAGCGAAAAAGGCATGCGTTGAAACTTGTCGCGAGGCTTGCGATTTCCTCGTAATCCCCGATCCCAACGCGGAAAAAAAATTCGTAAAAATTCGCCATGGCCAAGTCGGATGATGGTTTTATGGGGGATCCGGTTTGTATTTTTGGAGTAGAACCCAGATATGTAAAACGGCATCTGTAAACGGCATCTGTAAACGGCATCTGTGAATCGGCATTATGTAGGTAAATCGCTTCGACAACAGTTTCTGTATCTTTCACTTCTTGAAAAATGCTTTTCGGTTCCAATGATGCAACTCAAACCCCAATTTCAGCTACAAAAAAACGCCAACATGATCCTCCGAGTCCTCGCCATCGCCCTCATCGCCCTCGTCACGGTAAGAGAAAAGAAAAAGACCAAACTGACGAATAACTTTTAGGTTGAAGCCATCTCCCAGCGAATGATTGAGCACAAGATCCACAGATCTATTCTAAACCATAAGGTAATCAAAAATTACAAAATTCAAGCCCTCAATCTAGGTAATGGTCTTCTCAAAAACCTACTGCCCCTACAGCAAACGGCTGAAGCACATGCTCGAAAAGTATGACATTGCTGACAAGCAAATCCTCGAGCTCGACCTCCAGCGACCAGAGTACCGCCCTATCATTCAGGTTTGTGCACTAATTTGAAAGGAAAACTCTTTCTAGCAAAAAGAATATGAAAGGATTAGTATGGTAAGGTGTGGGAATGTTTTTTGCATGTTATAACGAACCGAAAACTCCCAAAAAAAAATTGGAGGCCATGTAACCCTCTAAAAACTATGTTTCAGGACTATTTGAAGACGTTGACCGGTCGCCGAACAGTTCCCCAGTTGTTCATCAACGGGATCTTTGTTGGAGGTAGGCATTTTCTACGTCGACGGTGATACTAAAGTTTATTGAATTTATGCTTTCGTTAAATTCCTTTAATACTGATCAAACCATAAAAACAAAACCGAAACTGCCAGTTTTCCTGCCACAATTATTATTGCTTCGTTTTTCCTAAATGACAAACTAAACAAAATTTTCAGGTTCCGATGATACAATCGAAATGGACCGCAAGGGCCAGTTCAAAAAGATCCTGCTTGATGCGGGCGCCCTGTACGAAGAAGAACGAAAATGATCTCTCACCATCTTTCCCAGGACTTGCAATACGTGTACATAGACCAGTAATAAAATTTACAATATCTAATACACTTTATAACATTGCGAATACCAAAAACAATCAAAGAGATACTACAAAGCAGATCACGCAAAAATCGTGTACAAACCGAGCACCCGAATCGTGGAATAGTTGAAGGATTATCGAGCCATTAAGTCAACACAAAAAAAAGATACTTTGGAAAGAGCTATGAGAAAAGAACAGAACTTTATTGAGCACCACCTTCCTGTTGCTGTCCCATCGAGGAGATGGCCATGAAGATGACGACGGGCACGATGTACATCCACTAAAAGACACAGAATAAAAGGGTTTCTTTCTGGAAATCCACTTGAAAAAAAAACACGATAAAAAGGCCATAAACCTACATATTTGGCGAGGAAGGAACGGTTGTCGGTCTCGGCGCCGTGCTGTCTTGCCCTGCGCTCCTTCTCCATTTTCTCGATGAACGACTGGGTATCAGGGCTAAATCAAGATATCAAATTATGCAGCTAAAACTCTAACCTTTTCAGTTGTTCGGTGCCGACAATCTGCACGATACCGGCCAGACTGCTCTTCGGCTGCAATTTACAGCTAGTGTCGCCGGTGGCGAAGGCCGTATCCGGGAATACGGTCAGCTAAAACGATAAATTTAACATTTTGCAAACGAATTACCGATTGCACAAACTTCCCAGACTGATCAAGGGACACCCAGAAACTGTGGACGAGCTTGGCGTCGAGAAGAGCACACTAGACAAATAAAATGAAAAAAAACTAGGAAAACACACTGGTTTGGCCGAGCTGGAAGCAGTCACTTCGGGTTGTTGCGTTCGGATGCGGTAGATACTCTTTGGGGCATTTTGAAGAGCGTTTCCGAGCACGTTGCTTTCTAAAACAAAAGCAATTTCAGAAAACAATGTTATAAAAACTAACCAAGCGACGGTTTGAATGTTCCAGTAAAGTTGCCGTTGTAAGCCTCGCGTACGACAATGTTGCCGAGCGTCGCCGATGTTTGCCAGTCTAAAAAAAGAAGAGTTAGTGAAAATAAGTATAAACAAACCGTCAAGGCTGTATTCGATGGGCAACGTCAGGTCGGCGGCGGCCACACAAAGCAATGCTAACAAGAAGATCATGCTGAAGATAAATAATAAATGATATTAAAGTTAAAAGTTAAAGAAAAGAAATAAAACCAAATCAAAAACTAAGGGTTTGAGGATTGGGCGTCGTAATGAATCGGGGCGCGGAATAGATTGCATAACTTTTCGCGCAAAGAAAGGTGTATCGCGGAATTTAAAAATACTAAAATGAAGATAAAAATATGGCCAGAACCGTCTGGGTCTTTTCATTTATGCAGTGTTATTTAGTAGCAGTTATTTAGCGCAGAAATAGCTAAAAAACTACTTCCGCTGGGCGCAAACTTTATAAAAAACTATACATTATCAATGGAAAACTTTTTTGGTATTTTCTCGGGCAATCACCGTATGAAAACTATGGCATTTAACGTCAATATTTTATTAGAACCGTAAAATTGTAGTCACCAATAGTGTTGGTTTTTTTACCGGTACCGAAACCCAGTACCGGTACCGACAGCCATTTTTTACCGATGAGGTTTTTACCGGTACCGGACCTCCGGTACCGGTACCAAGCATGTACCGAGAGGGTCGGTACTTTTTCGGTACCGGTACCAAGTCAGTACCGATGGCATCTGTACTTTTTCGGTACCGGTACCAAGTGAGTACCGACCGATCGGTACTTTTCCCGGTACCGGTACCAAACCGACCGGTAACGGTACTGCGGACCGGTACTGGCGGGGTCACAGGGGGCGGGCTTGCTTCCTGGCAGTGGACCAGACGCGTGGCGTGTCGCCGCTGCGCACCTTTTTTTACAAAATAAATCAGATTCCTGCCTTTATTTATACTGGGTTTTGTATTGTTATCTGTGCTAAGTAAATTCTGCTCCTGCCTGCATTTATATAGGCTTTAATTCGAAAAGAAATACCCGCGGACCCTTCCCTGTCACCGCGGCGACACGCCACGCGTCTGGTTCACTGCCAGGAAGCAAGCCCGCGCCCTGTGACCCCGCCAGTACCGGTCCGCAGTACCGTTACCGGTCGGTTTGGTACCGGTACCGGAAAAGTACCGAAGCCGTCGGTACTCACTTGGTACCGGTACCGAAAAAGTACAGATGCCGTCGGTACTCACTTGGTACCGATACCGAAAAAGTACCGACCCTCTCGGTACCAACAAAGTACCGGTACCGGTCCCCGGTACCGATGTTCGGTACCGGTACCCGCCGAGTACCGCGGTACCCGAGGGGGGGTTCGGTACCGGTACTGGGTTTCGGTACCGGTAAAAAACCAACACTAGTCACCAAGGCGGAAGTACATAGAAAGTGGTAAATCGCAAAATGCCCGCGATCTAGCGTCTCTAGCGATAGGGAGGAAGAATAAGTAAATTTGGTAAGAGGAAATATCACAAAAGCGGAACCGTAATTGGGAAAAGGCTACACTGGTCATCAGTTATCTTCGGAAATCAAAAGCTCGCGTAGGCGATAACGGTTTTTGGAGCGATGGTCGCGGTATCGGGCTACGTCTTTGCGAGTGATGACGCCGCGCAGCTGAAATTGGTTTTGTCTCTCACTTTTTGTTATTTTTGGTTGCGTCGTTTGCTTATGGTGTTCTGCTTGTGGTAATTTCTGCTACTTACCCGATTCTCATCGTTGACGACCATCAAATATCGAAGCCCCAGGCCTCGGAAGAGTTTGTAAATGAAAGGTAGAGAGGCGTTCAAAGGAACGCGATGCGGATGCGGGTGCAACACTGGAGAGAGGTCAACCCAGCTCATCAGGTCTTCACCGCTAGTCAGCCCAAGGTCGGCCATTGACTTTGTTTTGCTGAAGGCAAGTTTTGCTTTTCTCTATCGAGCATACCAGTCAGTATCATCGACGAAATCCTCGTGGGTTAGATGATAGGCGCTACCGGTGCGCCCGTCTGGGTGGATCGAGAATGCCTAAAAATTGTTGCAATCGCTTGTGCTCATTTTTATACCCGTCGCTCGAGGATTCTCATCAGTTGTGAACGCAAGATGACGCCCTGGAGGACTCCATAGTCTGGCAGGGGGCCCGTCATGCTCTCTTCGATTCGGTCGACGACCTAAAAAAAGAAAGTTGTTTGAGTCCGATGTGCCAAAAGTTCTTACCGGAAATCCGTGATGGCTAGTAACTTCCAGGACCTCCTTGATTCGGCCGACTCGCTCTCGTCGTTCAAATGCGACGACGTCTTTCCGCATGACTTGTCTAGAAAATAGAGTTTATGATCGATTCGTTGCAACGAACTGTGCATTGATGTTGCGGCTCATCTTTGGCGGATGCCAGCCCAGGACTGGGATCCCTTGCATGTCGATCAGCGAGTCGTAAACTCCCTAGAAAGATATAGGTAGTTTGGTACCTTTTCAAACACCTTTTCAAGGCTGTAATTTACCATATGGGGGCCTACCTCATTAAACAAATCCCCAACAAACTTGGTCGTCATGAGCACGAGCATAATCGGCAGTCCGAAGGTAATATCCTTGGTGGCCTCCATGATAATGGCCGTCAAGGAGATGGTCATGCGGACAGATCCTCCTAGCTGGGCTGCCGCTCCCGCGAGGGCGTACTTTCCAGGGTCGATGCCGGTCTAAGAAAGGTCTCGTTCGTTTCTTTCAGGGTTCTTACCACTCCGGGTACGATCTTGGAAAGGGAGATTCCGATAAAACGACCCCATGCAGCTCCAGTCAGGAGCATCGGGATGAAAATTCCGGAGGGGACCTAGAAACGGAATTGAATCGAGCACAGGTTTTCCGGACCGATACTCCAAACGTCCAGGCGGTCAGGAAAAAGTATTCGGTGGCAAAGATGAGGAGCGTCCAAGGGCGGAAAGAGTCTATAACAGACTCGTTAAGCGTTCCCTTCAAAACTCACTGATCGGTGCGTGGAAAAGACTTTTCACTCCCTCTTCGGGGTTGTGGAAGAACAGGTTGGCTACCGCGGAATATTCGCCCTTCTTGCACCACATCTAAATACGGCTTGTGTTTGTTGCGCTTGGCTTTCGATCTTACCTGCATAACTTCCGTGTTGTTCGGGTTCACCCCGACCGGTTGGCAGTCATCAACCATAAAGATGGTCAGGAAACCGAAGAAGCCGGACATAGCGGCAACGATAAGTGCTTCCATGAAGCGTTGGCGTTTGGTGTGGACGTACCTAAAAATTTGTGTGTATAGAGTGTACAATACAGTTGCAAAAATTCCTCTACGGCCTGTGAAATCGCTTACTTGATGCGGAACTTTGCGATTCTGACGTTGAGCGCGTTGAAAGCCGCTCCGCTAACCCCGCCGATCACGCCAATAGCCAGGAAGAAGGGGATTTCGAAGATGTTGTAGTTTTTGTTCTAAACAGGGGCTTGAGATGTCGTATGTTGCCTACCTCAAAGACCCCAAAATTGGCCAGACCGGTCCAAGATAGCCATCCGGCCTTTCCGTACCACCAGGCCAGCACCGAGCTCACGGTAAAGGATGAGATCATGGAGGTAAAGAACTAAAAAATTATAGGTGAGTTTGCAAGGGGTTATTCGATGATCGGGCCAAGATCCCAAAAAATGTACCAATCGCCAGGTCAGGTTCTGGTTCCAAAAACTGGCGCCCTCCTCCAAGGCGAACAGTACACCGCCGATTGGGGCACCGAACGCTGCTGAAACTCCAGCTGCTGCTCCGGCGGCTACGAAGTCCCGCTTATCACGATCATTTCTGGGAACAAATTAGCTTCAGCACCTCTTCGCTTACCTGAACTCCTTGAAGAAGCCGAAATCCAGGCCTAATGTTGTGCTGCGGCCTTGTGAGATGCCGGCAGCAACACAACCACCGCTGTGAATCATTGGACCTTCCTAGAGAGGTAAAATTTGTTCGGGATGCTGCTATCCAAAGTGTCGTAGTCAGGGGCGTAGCTAGAAAAAAATTTCGGGGGGGCCCCGAAAATTTTTTTCCGAAAACTCAAAAAATTAACGAGAAACAGCGCCGCAGGCGAAAATTTTTGGAAAAAAGGCTGCATAGCTCTACAAATAGCAGTAAAAACGTGTAAAAATAGCGCCGCAGGCAGCAAAATTTTTGAGAAAATAAAAATCATAAGGGTCCCCCTTATGAAATTTTTGGGCCCCGGCCGATTTCGGGGCCCGGGCCCAGGGGGCCCACCTTACGCTACGTCCCTGGTCGTAGTAGATATATTTAATTTAAATATCTATTTATATTTCATTTTCCAGTTTTTTAGAAACTTTAAAATCTTTAAAATGAAGCAAAACTTTAAATATCGGTGCAATTAGATTAAATTTTAGAAAACGAAACCCGCTTGTTTTCTCGCCTTTTCAAGAGCTTTCGATTGATGGCTAAATCGTAAAAATCGGATTCGACTGCGGACCGCTAGGTGGGGGGGGGGTTGGACCTGTATTCAGCAGTTATTTCGGATGGTTTACCTTTCCAGCACACAATCCTCCTCCGACCGCACATGAGACACCAATTGCCTTAGCGATAAGTGTTTTCAGCTTGACGACATCCGGGATTGCCACCCCATTCAAGTAGCACTTGATTTGAGGAATCCCGGATCCGCCAGCGATCGGGGAGATCCAGATCACCAAGAAGGCCGCAATCCCAACCTAAAAAAATCGTAATTGAAACCCTCAAGTGCTCAACCACTCACCAAGGCACAGTTGTAGATGATCCAGACCAGCTCGACGGTCCACATGCAGTTTGCACTCTCTCCCATCTCGAGGTTGTGGTCACAGCTTAGAATTACTAAAGGCCAGGGGTGGAATGAGATATTTAGTTTTAAGTAAAATTTGGCTCTATAAAAACTTACACCCTTTCAATATATAATCAAATTTGATCTGCTTGCTGATCGTCACCAAAATATCAATCGCTGACGCCACCAGAGCCGTGAAAATGCCGATGAAAAAGCAAGCAATCCACCGATTTCTGCTTATCCGCCACAGGCCGACCTAGGAATTATCGAAATTTGTAAGGTATGTGTTTACTTACCTGATAGCTTTCTTTGAACTCCTCTTTCCGGTAAAGCTCATTTTCACAAACTTCGTAGTCGAGACTTTCAAACTTTGATGATATCGTTTCTTTAGCAGGTGAGCTTTGTTGCCGGATGAGGGGTTGGGTGTCGATGATGGGTTCCTGAAAGGGTGGGGGTTTCTACAGTACAAAACGTTTTACTTACCGAAGCCCGATGGCCTCGCTGGTAGGTGTGCATCGAAGAATTGGAGGCTACCCGGTCCATACCCGTCACCGGGTCCTCGTACACATCGATACTGGAAAAATCAATATTTGGGAGCTATCAACAATCTTTTTCCAGTTACGAATTAGAATTTTTTTTAACTTGAAGACCAACCTGCTTGCCGACACTGTCCTTTGCCTTCCATGAGAAGGTACAAGTCGATGGGCTCGGTGGTAGAACGAGGTGTTGGGCATTGGGGTGCCCTGAAAACCCATTTTCAGAGTTTGGCAGAGGTGAGGAATGAGGTCTATCTGTTGGAAGTGTTATTTCAATTGTTATCACTTTCGCAGCCATCTGTTCTACTTCCTGGCTCATCTGCTAAAATGGCCGAAAGGTCAGAGGTGCTTTTCGATACGCACTAATGTTCTCTGTGTTTTAAAGCAGCAATAGAAAATACTGACTTATCGTTTAAACACAGTTTGTCATATCGTTTTAAAACTCACGACCGGCGGCGAGTCGTCCATCGTGCCGTAGTGAACGTGTCGGGTGGGGGAGGTAAGACTATTTGTTCGTGATCGTCCTGTGCATAAGCTAAAAATCAGGGTTGAATGAGGGTAAATTAGGGCTTTTTAAGTAGGGCCTATGCTGTTATGGGTAACATTGGCCCCAGTGGTCAACATGGCGTAATGCGAGGATAGGAGTGGAAGGTAGCGCAACGGTGCGAATGGGCGTCTGGAAATGCACCCCAGCCAGCGAGTGTTGGTTTCCTTGCAAAGAAAAAACGACCAGAAATCGGGTCAATCAAGAATTTAACGTCTACATGAAAAACCGCAGTAACAGAAATAAAGCGAGATTTTATTGATCTCTCCAGATCCTTGTCTAAAGCCGTGTTTTAACAAAAAAAAACCGAATTTTTTGCCAGAATCCGGCAAGGATATGCTGATGGCAAAGGCAGAATTTTGCGACTGCCGTTTCAATCCTAATTTGTGCTAACTAAACGGCGATTTCGGAGAATTTTATCGATTATCTTCTTCATCAATTATTCTCAAAAAAAATCCAATTGTAGCTATGTTTGACCAGTTTTTAGCATTAAAAATCCAAGAAACCAAACCCTAACTAATAGATATCGCCTCTTCCTGGAAATGCGCCCCAGACAATGCCGGAATCGATTAGCACCCAAATCTTATCGCTTTGCGGGGGTTTCCAGGAAAAAGACTTCGGGCCTGATGAGCTGACCTGCTCCGTTTGTGCTGGAACGGGCCATCGGAGAGTTCGATGTTCCGGCGCGACATCTTCTGAAGCTTGGGTCCAAGCCAGAGGGCTCGAATCAATGTTTGAGCCGGCCAGACAAAAGATTTTCCTGATGGTTGGAAAAGTACAAACAGCCCCGGCTTCAGATGATAACACGCCCGGCTGCATCTTTTTGTGAAAACAACTAGGGGCTGGGGGTTTCAGGGCAGGTCAGGTCAAAAAGTCAGAAATCGAACGGCTGCGGGGTTTGAGCCAAAATTCACATGGAAGCGTTCTCTTCGGAATCGAGAGGCCCGGAAGCGGGACGCTGTTTTGGTAGCCTTCTAACGCCATGATACGAGTCAACAGCGTTGGGCAGCTTACATTTTAGAGGATCGCGAACGCGGTATTCAGACTCGAATAATGGTCGATGATGATGACGGTTGCGTAATTTCAGGAATGGCTCTCGGATTTATAGTTTTTCTCGACGTCTGGGGAGACCAGAAAAACGCACCCAACATCGATGTCAGAGAATTTTAGTAAGGCTATTCACGATCTGCCTTCACAGCCCCTTTAGAAGCGCCGCGATGAGCCGAGATTTGCGAAAAAATTCAGATAGCTGTATCTTTCTAGCCGCCTATATCCTTTCTAGCACTTTACGAATCGAAAAAATTCATTTCCTGGGTTTCCAGAACCGTCATCACTACGGTACGGCACACATCATTTTTCATTGAATAATTTCCCTAACTTCAACCCCACAAAAACTACGTGTCCCCGCATTTCACCCACTGCCAGCGTCGAATTCGCCCATTAAACTGGGCGTAATTTGTCAGATCGCTGGGCGGGTTCCTCCCCTCTGCGGGCGTGAAAAAGTGCCAAATTTTGTGGGCCATTTCGGGTGGGCCTTTGATCGACCCTGATAACGAGGAGGGAGGAGGAGCTCCGCCACCCGGAGCACAGATTTGCGCGGTACTCGCGGCTTCAGGAATTCCTGGTTTTTAAAAACTAAAGCTTGTTTCATCAAACGCTGCACGTTTTGTTTTAGCGCCAGCATGGTCAAGTTGGGCTTGGTTTACATCTTCTTCGGCCTGGTAGCCGCTCAGGACATCTTCTACAAGTGTACGAAGACCGACTTGGACTATGAGATTGTCAGTAATCAATTTTTTGGTGTCATTTTCTCGTAGCGACGCTTCAACACGGCCATCGGCGTGAGCCCCGATCTCACGTATTACAATACCTCCGTGCTATACGATGCAATTTTTACCGTATTTCGGCAGGACATCATCAAGACCTGCGCGTGAGTTTTGGAGAGCTACCTACCCTTTTTAGTTTCCAAGCTGGATAAAATGATAGCTCTAAAAAATCGCCCGATGCGGCGTTACAAGTTAAATTCACAGGGCCCGATCAGCTTTCGCAGCCAACCTCGGCTACATGTATACTGATTGCGTCGATCCGTGGACGATCGAATCTCTCGTTGGTGGCAATTTGACCATCTTCCATGGCACGTGACATTTCCTAAAATCGAACTCCCAATTTTTTCAGCCGTCCAATACGCCCAGATCTGGAACCGGCTCGAGTTTGCTTGCGGCGGCGGCTTCCACAGTAGGATTTCTATAGAAAATTGTCATTACGTTGATTTTAGTCGCTATTGACGATTACGCATGCATTTACAATGCCACTCAGCAACAGAAATTCACTGATGTAAGTGGTGAGCTCTAGGAAGTATTTTTCTTTCAGTGCTACCAAGAATTCGCGAAGACCACCTACAACTACACGACATTTGATCATTACTGCCAGTAAGCTGGGCTATCGAAATTTCGATGATCTTTCTATCGTTCGGTCGCAGTTAGAACTTCATGTGCTATCAAAAAAATCCCGAACATTTTACGTACACATTTTTACGTAGCCAATTGAAGGTACTTCGACAAACTTTTGACTTTTTTTAGGCTAAGAGAAAACTTTTTAAAGCACAAAATGGCCCGATTCCCGTGCGTTGGCGAGGCGGAAGTGCTAAAAAAAAATCATAATTGGCCATAACACGATAGTAATGAACGGGAACTCGCAGGGGCAGTCTAGCGATAAAGGGCGGCCGTAGCTCGAGCGGGCAAGAATTTTGGGAATTCGTTCTTTAGTGTTCAGGTTCATAGTTTTTGCTGCGAAAATTTGATTGTCGATTTTTAATCGGATTTTAAGGGCTTCTTTAGGACCGTGAAGACGTACGCTGCCTGCGGGTACGACTCGGTGAAGCCGTTCGGCTGCAAGAATCCTCTGGTAAATTTTCACGAAAAATTTGGAGCTTATAAAACGCGTTTAGTCTCCGTGGTACCTCTGCGAAAGCCTGCGGTTTGGCGTGGGGAAAACCTGCCCAGGGTTGAGATGTTTTGTGAATCAATGAAAATGTCTATTAGAAACTTTTTCCGCGTACCTTACCCTACTGATAAATATTATCTGATGCCTTTTCAACAGTTGGATTCCCTCGGTCTGAACTTTCAAACGGCCTGCCTCCGATTTTTGAGCCACAGCTGATTCACCAGCTTCTCCCCCCACTTTTCACCATGCCCAAATCGGGTGGTATTTCCCGGCCAGCCAGCCAGTCCGCCTACCGTGTCTATTTTCGCCGGCGAGACCCCCCTTAGAAGGTGTGCTCCGGGGCTGAGCTGGCGGCTAATCCTCGTCTTCACAGTCCTCTTCCCCTTCTTCCATCGTCCTTTCCTTTCCTTGGCCATCGAATACTTCCCCGAGACTCCTCCATTACCACGAATTATCGTGGAGATGGTCCGGGTGATCCGGGAAGATGGGTGGGGGGTTTTTCGGAAATTTATGAAGCAAAACTGGTTCAATTTTTGGATTCTGAGAGTAAAGGTGTGATCGTCGTTCTGAATGGGAACGAAAACGAGGCGATATTGAAATGTCCAAAGGGATCGGGAAGTAACAGCCGTCTTCGGCAAAACTGTTGGGAATTGACTGTAAATGGCGCAATCTGCGTCCTGGGTATTTCACAATCCCAGTAACACGTACCAATGACACTTCACGCCTGCAAGTTAGCGGTTACTCTAACATTAATGCGCGATTGCCACGACAGAGTTAGAATTCTGCTTTCCATAACATTTTATTTAGGTCGGGAAACCCCTGATTTTACGATTCTGCGAAGACAGTCCCCCCGATTCCCGGTCCAGGGGATCGTACAGCGTCATCGTAAATTGCGAAATTCGTCTAAAAGGTTACGCGCCAAACAATGGACACGTGGGCTGCTATTTCAAGCCGATTGTCTGGAAAATGGAGGCCACATCATCGGCCTGGGGGCAAAGTCCTCTTGAAAAGCTTTTTACAGTGTGGTGATGTAGCGCATAATTTTGATGAAAGGGAAGAGGAGAGAGAGAGAGAGAGAGAGAGAGAGAGAGAGAGAGATAGAGAGAGAGAGAGCGAGAGAGAGAGAAAGAGAGAGAGAGAGAGAGAGAGAGAGAGAGAGAGAGAGAGAGAGAGAGAGAGAGAGAGAGAGAGAGAGAGAGCGAACACTTCACCCCCCATGCCGAGATTCTGAATTTTCTGGTAATCTAAATCCCGTTCCCGACGTGATTCCAATCCCGATCCCTTTAATTGACCCCCTCAAACGAGGGCTATGAGCGAGGAAGAGCGAGGAATATTGTGTGCGCATGCAAATGGAGCCCCCTCCACTCGCGCAGACCGACAGAATGCCGACGGCCTTGACACGTCCATATCGCATCACAGAAACGAACAGACCGAAAGGGACAGAAGGAAAGACAGGCTGCCCCCCGCGCCTCGCTTCAGACGGGGGTCCCACTTCTCCACACCTCGTCCACCACCAGCACCCTCGCATTCACATTTTGGATAGCCTTAATTCGATAGAGGGGGTAGACTCTCTGCTAGAGGTGCTGGGGAGATATTACGGTTTCATTTTTTGAATACCGTACATTTTTTTTATTTTTGATTTTTCTGGCGTAAGTTACGGCTTTTAAATTCTCATTTTTACCGTAAAGTGCTTTTGTAAAGCATAAACAACATATCATTTTAAATATCATAATTCAAATCTATGCATTATGTGAGAAACGCTATTAAATTTTTGCCCAGATCTAGCATACCATTAACCCGTACGGATCTGGAAGATATAAGTTGATTTGGTTTCTTTGCCACCTAGAAATTCAAGCTTTAAAGCATATCACTACCAATATGTACATTAAATAAGTTTGTTAAACTCGTAAATTCCATATTGTCTTTGTCTAAAATTGTCTAAAAACTAGCTGATGAATCAGGTTTTTTTGCGATCCCTACGAGTTGACTGATTTACTTGCACCAGCCTTCTCCCTGACCTCCACCATCTAACGGCCTGAACCACGAGGGGGCTTTTCCCAACCCGATTTTCCGAGAGACGAGCTGACTCACCGTATGCCACGAATAAATTCCCGCCCAGCCCTTCGATCCCCCCTTTTGAAGATGGGTCATCGTCAATATTTTCCGCGTGATCCCATTTCGGCCGGGGCGGCCGTTCTGAAACGCCAGAGGTTTATGTGTCGTCGGGTCGGCTTGGAATATGATGTGTTTTGGCGTTCATGAATTCAGATAAAATTGTCGTGAATGGAGGTTACGAGCCTCCAAATATAGCCAGTCTGCGTGCATGGAAATTCGTGACAAGATTTGGCACTTTGCCATGGTTATATGCGCTAGATTTTGACCTTTTCGGGTTTCTAAGGGGACATTTAAAAGGCCGTTTGCCAGAGACCCGAACAAGCCTTGGCACAGTTTTTTCGACCTCGTTTTTTTGATGCCATGTGAAAGAGCATAGTCGAATTAGTGGGGTGGCGCTATTTCGAGATTTTTAAAAGTTCATTTTCTAGGTTTAAATGGGTGTTAAAGTTGGAAACCTTCAAAAATTATCTCGCGATCTACTGAACCAAATTGCTCGAAAATTTCAGACAATACTTAATTTGGGGTGCTGATCATTTTTGTAATACATTGTAAAGCACGAAAATAGCCGGAACATAGGAATACCGCGTACACAGAAAGGTTTTTCGCAATTTTCTATTTAATGGGTATGCGTCGCCACTCTAAAAATACCCTTAAAAGATGCGCAATTGAATTCTACATAGAATCATGTATTTTTCAGCGTGGCGACAGATACCCATTAGATCGAAAAATCGCTTTTAAAGACGCCGAACAGAAGAAAATTGCGTATTCCGGAAAAGAAAGACAGTTTTTCGTATATAGAGACCAAAACAGAGCGATTGCAAAAAAGAGCAAAACGAAATTCGATTTCTAAAAGGGGGCTGGGATTGAACTCGGGTCGTTCGCCTGGGGACCTGGCGGCGCCCACTAGTGGCTTTCCCCAGTGCCCCCAGGCGGACCATCGCGGGTTCGATTCCCCATCGAGCCCAATTTCGCGCAAAACCCATATTGCTTTTTGCTCTTTTTTCCAATCGGCTTGCCTTCTTCTTTAGAGTCGATTGAACTTCGCGGATTGCCAAAATACAGTATTTTTATGTTTGTGGAGCCATTTTAGTTGTTTTTAGAAATGTCATTTTTTCGATTTAATGGGTATCTGTCGCCACGCTGGAAAATACATGATTCGATGTAGAATTCAATTGCGCATCTTTTAAGGGTATTTCTAGAGTGGCGACGCATACCCATTAAATAGAAAATTGCGAAAAACCTTACCAGGTACGCGGTATTCCTATGTTCCGGCTATTATGTACTACAAAAATGATCAGCACCCCAAATTAAGTATTGTCTAAAATTTTCGAGCAATTTGGTTCAATGGATCGCGAGATAATTTTTGAAGGTTTTCAACTTTAACACCCATTTAAACCTAGAAAATGAACTTTTAAAAATTTCGAAATAGCGCTACCCTACTAATTCGACTATGCTCTTTCATATGGCATCAAAAAAAACGGGGTCGAAAAAACTGTGCCAAGGCATCATGTGGGCTGTTCGACTGACCGGCGGACGGCCTTAAAAGGCTTGACCATGGATTTCGTTAGCTTGGAATTTCATTGGATTTTTCCGCATGCAACGCAACAGGCTTTCATTGGGTAATGGATTACGACATCTTAAAGGTAGCCATACAGCGTGCCCGTTACATGTCGCAAAGGCGTTTGAATCCATAGGAAAAATATAGCGGTTTGTGCCTGGAATGGTCCTTCAAATTGTCTAGCCTACGATGTGTGCTCATCAAAAACCGAAAATAGGAGGGATTACGATGTAGATGACGTGATAACGCAGCATTTTTTTGTATTCGCCAGCGTCAGATCGCGCATCAGTTTGGTGTCATTAGTGCGCCGATAAAAAAAATCATCGATTTTAAGATTCTACTACCTGCAACCTTGGCAATCCCTTTAAGACACCACCACCTCTGACCGGTTTTCCGGACCATCCGTCACGCACCGCCCAGTGCTGTGATTGTCTGTTGTCTGTTTTCTAAAGGAAATGGGCAACGGGGGGGGCACAAGGCTGGTGCACCAAGGGGGTGGGGGCGGGGGTGCGGGGGTGGCACCCGGAACGTCAGAAGACCGCCGGTGTTTGGACAGAATAGGAAGGGGTGGGGAGAAGCCAGCCAGCCTCCAACCATGGCCAGTAGGTCATAACAGCCAGCCAGCCAGAAGAAGCAGAAGAAGCCAGAAGCCAGCCAACCCCCTACCATGGCCACTAGGTCATAACAGTCCTTACCGGCTCTAACCCCTTGCTGAGGGCCTATTTATTTGCATAAAACCATTAGGCTGGGTGTAAATAGGGGTCCTGCTCCTACCAAAAAAGTTCGCTTAGCTTTTAGTTCTCCATAGTTATAAGGTGTTATTTCAAAACGAACCCAAATCTTTCCGGAAAGTCCCGCGGCTTCAAATAAGTTTTGAAATTTGCGTTGAAACCGTTTAAATTTCTTTGCGTTTTAAAAGTTTGAACCTCCTATTTGAAATCGAAAACTGAATTTTTTCGATTTTTCTGGTTATTACAAAGTAAAGGTTTTCAAGCCAAAATATAGGCGTTGAGAGGATCAAAAGTTTTAAAAAAATTTGCTGGTTCGGCAAAGTCATGCTCGACAACGTCGTCATTGCGCAAAATTGCAAAATTTTCATCTATTTTCAAGGTCAATTTAATTACCCAGGAAAGATCGGAATTGTTAAAAATCCAAGTATTAGAGGTTGAAACTTTTGTCGTTGGAGGATCCTAAGCATTTTGCATTTTGTAGCATTTAGAACAGCATTGAGCATGAGATAGAGAGAGTAGAAATTTTTTTATGTCCATACATTTATTTAGCTCCAACACCTCCAAACTTCCGACTTTTTAGAGTATTTTTGCATTTTTAGCTCTTTGAGCAGCCACGAGCATCAGAAGGAGAGAGAAAGAGAGAGAGAGAGAGAGAGAGAGAGAGAGAGAGAGAGAGAGAGGAAGGCATAAATTTTGGTGTCCCAAGATTTCTCCAGCTCCAACTCCCTGTAAAACGCTCTAACCTCGCCGAAGCATTGTGTTCCAATTGAATCCACTTCGTTCCATTTCACCCTCCTCCTCCGGGCGAAATACAGGACTAGTGGCTGGATGTGGGGGTGGCTAAAAGAGGTCTCTCTGGATGGGGCGTGCACTGACTCACAATACAATAACACGCCCCTTTCCCCCCAGCATCCGCTCCTCCACCACCACCACCACCACTACCCCCCGACGCCCCATATGACTCCATTTCATACAAACACACACACACACGCATACACACGCATACACACGCATGCAGCTAGAGACACACACGCGCACACATGTGCCCTCCGGGACTTTATTAGCCCACACCTACAGCTGGGGGTTGACTTTTGGGCTTTGATCAGGTCGAAAACGTTGATCCAGTGCTGAACTATACCACCAAATTTTAATGACTACTCGCTCTGCTTGTATTAAATAACAGGTGCCTTGGTATCTTCCAAAAATATTTTTGTTGGCTATTGTGTCAACTCTGAACCACTATTTTTATATTTAATGTATTTTTCGTATCTGCTAGGCCTGAGGCTTATTCCTTGTTCGATTAAAGGTATGCGGAAATCCGGTGCTAACGCTAACGGTAGGTCCGGGTTTACTGTTCCGCCCGGGGCAGGACATCACCATTACTAGTCACTTTCTCATGGTGTCCTTTCATTAAAACTTGCCCGACTGAATTTAACCGGATTCTCACTTTTTGCACGTCGATTCCATCGTTTGCGATGGTTAGAAATCCTCTGGCAACTAGACTTCCTGGGCCAACTTTATTAAAAAGTACCAAACGACACCTGACGTCAGCTTCACCTCTCCGGCCTCAAAATATTTTTTTTCTTGCCCAGCTGATTCAGCAGTATTTATTTCCCCGGGTGACCGGCGCACCCAACGTTTTTTCCGACCCCCTCCTCGTGCCAACAAAGTCGGCCGCGTTACCTCCAAAACAGTTACCATGTCCCACCCCGCTGATAAGCCCGAGGATTATTTTTGACAGGCACCGAGAGGGGGACGGGGTGGAACGCTGTTTTTGAGGTTATTTGTTTCAAAAGTTTAAATTTACGAATTCGAGAAATCTTGGATCTTGCCGGGTTTTGAGAGCTTTCAAAAGCGGAATTCTTCTAGGCCTAAGTTAGCTTACGATCAGACTCTACTTTACGATACTTAGCGCATTCGATAGAGAATTTGATTCTGAAAAAGCCTCCGTTGTTCTTTTTTGCGGATTGGCTCACCCTGATTTTATAACATTTTAAAACTGCACGCAAAAGCCTCTCATTTTGCTCGAAGGCACTCATGGGAAGAGACGGTAACTATAGTATTTTAATCTTATAAAATCAGGGATAACCATTCCGCAAAAAAAGAACAACGTAGTCTTGCTCAGAATTGAATTCTCTATCGAATGAGCTAGGTCTCGTAAGGTTTTGCAGATGACTCAAAAAAAGCACTCCGTGTAAGCATAGAATCCGTTATTTTGAAGCTATATCGATCAATCTTCCACTTTTTCGATGGCTGGATCCGTCTCTCTTTCTCTCCACTCTCTGCATAATTGCCCCTGGAGGGTCAGCCGGGAATGGGGGTGGTGGGGCAGCTGGTGGATTCGAAGTCTGCGTTCGCGCCCGGCTACCAGATGCCGCTGTCAACACAAAAACAATTCTTAGGACGGGCGTATTCTGGGGCTATTCTTCGGCTTAATTTTGTTTATTTAATTGTCTGCTACAGAATATCTGATTTATCTGTCTCGATTCTCGCTGATACAAAGCGTTTACCGGCAATTTTCGGCTTTACAACTCAAAATTATAATTTGAAATCTTTCGTAATTTCTTGCGAAATTTTTTTCACTTTCTTGATGTAAAAACAAAACGTTCAGCCATTTTTTTGTCCGATTTCGCAACGTCCTGATCCCCCCGTGTGCGTCACCCCGGCCACGCATCCCCCTGGAGTAGACAAAACAAAATCATATTCCGCCCCTTTTCCGGCCCTGGAATTGACTCACAATTTGTAGAATTTGCTCTTCATATTCTGGCCTATATCCCTGAAATCTGTAGAATAAAATAGACGGTTCTTGCGTATTCCCGGGGGGGAGAGGGGGGGAAGAATTCGCAGGGGGGGAACCGAACTTTTTTCCGCCCAAGCCTATATTTTTTATATAAATGGTGGAAGTGTTTCTAAATTGTTTACAGCTATTCCTAAGCATAAAAACATTACAAAATTGAATTAAAAAATTTAATTTTAGGTCGAAAAATCAATTTTTCCGGCCCGAAAATGACCAAATTTTCGACTTTTTCAAGAGTTTTTCTAACTTTTTAAAAACTTTCCGATTCATAGGCTTAAAATTTGCCAAAAACAATGTGCAAACACTTTATATTTGGTTACTATCCCCACCAGGGCCGACAGGAAAAAAAGTTGGTTCCGAATTTTCCCAGCTGCACACTTCCAACTCGTCAAAAACTCGAGTTCTACCGGAAATCGATGGGCGAACAGTATTATTTGGCTGGTTGCCCGCTGCCACCAACACATGCTGGGCCGCGTCGACATTCGCACAAAAATGGCATTGAAACTGTTGGGGGATTGGGCCGCGAGTCCACCCACAGCGAAAGACCTTGAATTTTCACTGACTCCTGTGCTGGCCGTACTTCATTTCGGTTCAATTTCAAGGTTTATTTTGTTCAAATTTTTTGCGGAATTTGAATACTATTCTTTCTACCTTGTAATCTCGTCACTTACCACTCCTTAATAGGTTTATTTAATTCATTTTTCGAGAAGAAATCATGGCTAGGCGTCTAGCATAACGAATTAGGCCAAGTTTCGTCAGCTTGCCTTACGCTACGCTACGCTACGCTACGCGGGATTTCGTTAGAAGTAGCGTTACTAGTTTTCGTTTGGCCCAAGCCTAAGCCCATGCCAAAGCCCAGGGCTACCGTTCAAAAGAATTTGACTACGGCTATTTTAACATGACCGGAAATTAACCGCGCTATTATCCGCCAAGGTCTAGTATCTGGGGTAACCTTCCAAAATCTACCGTATCCCATGAACCTAGAGAATTACCGCCTCACTTTAATGCCCCCCATACCCGGATGATCTTTGTACTCTTCATCTCCACAGAAATTCAAAAGGCCCTGTCCTCTCCAGCATGGCCTGGCGCCAAATACCATCCCGTCGTCCCCGCAGCGCGAGGCCCTAGGAATTGTTTTTCGTGTAGCGCCCCCCTCTCGAGATCGTCCAGCTGATTTCTATTGTGTTGGTCAGTCCCGATCGGCGGAAGAGAGGGGGGCTTTTCCCCCCAGAAACCACCACCACCCCCCACCCCGCTACTCCTGGTTTGCTAGACGCGCTAAGCACCCCCTGGGGCGGCTTTTCCTGTATCCGTAGAGGGGGTCCGCCTAAAAGAACAGTACCACCAAACACTTATTTTCGTGTGTTTATTGGTCGGTGGACCGGAAGCGCGTTCAGTTTTTGTCATTACGCGTGAACACTGGTTTTTCGGCCCTCTTGGCTTATGTCCAAGTTTTTAAAAGTTTTCTGGGAAGGTTAGGAACCGGAATTATCAGTTTTGAGGTGGCTTCACTTTTAGAAGTCGAGAAACACCAATTTTTTAGCCTCCCTAGCTTTTTTAAAAATTCGGAACTTGGATTTTCACTATCTTTTTTTTTGAATGATCATGAGGCCCGAGAGGTCATTTCTTATCTTTTTTTCCGCTAAGAAAAATCCGTTTTTGAGGTGTTCCCTCTTTCCTGTTTTATTTTTTCTTAAACTGCACCTTAAAGTTACAAAAATATGCAAATCCCTTCCTTTTCCAGATGGCCGACAACGTTCCCACTTCCCCGAAGCTCGAGGATCTGCCCAAGATCGATCGCGACATCGCTGAGGTTTGTTGCCACACTTAGCTGTTTGGAAAAAAACTAAAAGAATAGACTTTTAATAATACCAAAATCGCCAAAAAAATAGCAAAACAGCACCAATTTCAGGCCCTGTGCACCGGCGTCGAGCTGAAAAAGGTGGAGACCCAGGAGAAGCAGGTCCTTCCCAGCCCTACCGGTAAGTTAAGGAGTACGGTATAAACTAGATAAAATGATCATAAATTAATCTTGGGATTATAATCGCTATTAAAAATTTATACTCTTAAAAATGGACCCGAAAAATACGCACCCACTCGCCACTTGACCCAGCCGGGGAGTGGAGGGCTATGGCGCCAAATCCTGGGCTGGGGGCTCTTCTTCCCTTCCCCACCTGCCCCATCCCATGGCCGCGTGGCGCAATGGATAACGCGTCTGCCTACGGAGCAGAAGATTGAAGGTTCGAATCCTTCCGTGGTCGAAACCTTTTGCTTTTGTGGAAAAGAAAACCACTACTTTTTTGCTTTTTCAAGGGACACGCGACAAAAACGATTTATGCAGTTTTGCGATAACACACTACCGATTTTCAGATGTCAAGCAGGAGAAGACGCACAATGAGCTGTGCACCGGTATCGCCAGCTTCACCCCGGAGAAGCTGAAGCACACGGAGACCGAGGAGAAGCAGGTGCTCCCGAGTCCCCAGGGTAGGTATAGAACTATTTTGAGCTAAGATCTATCCGAATTTATATCAAGTAAATGATCCATTTTCAGACATCAAGCAGGAGAAGCAGCACCAGGAGCTCACCACCAACATTGAGGGCTTCAACGCGACGCAGCTCAAGTCGGTGAACACCGAGGAGAAGGTGGTGCTCCCCTCCAAGGAAGGTGAGCTAAGAAAAAAATAGTCAAGCGAAAGAAAGAACTTTTTGAGTGCGTGTTACTAAAAAAAGTAAATTTCAGCCTGAAAAATACTTTAACCTAATCGTTTATACTTGAATCTATATTAATTATCGATCAAAATAGACGTTAAAAATCTTCATTAATACAAAAAATACAAATTATTTCTACTAGTCCAAGTCGCCCTTAAAAACTTTTCTAATTCCAGACATCATACGCGAGAAAGCCCCCGCCGAGGCGGCCAACTTCGACAAGTCGGCGCTGAAGCACGTCGAGCCGCAGGTGAAGCACAGCTGCGAGGTCATCGAGGCTCAATAAACACGCTCAAATTCACCACACTTCCCTCCTCATCATCCCGTTGCATATTAAATTATTCCCCAAACCCCCCAAAAACGACGATACCTTACTCGCTTACACGGTTACAGCCATTCCACGCTGCATTGCCTAGACAAGAAAACATCCCCTGGCCTTTCCGATACCTATGCCTCCAAAAAGTTGCCTTTCCCCCGAAAATCTCCTCAGCTCTCTTACATCTGTGCTTTACCCCCACTGCTAAATGCTTTTTCGCGCAATGTCCGTAACGATAAACTTTATTAAACAACATCGGTGGGGACGCAGTAAACGTGGGAACAGACATAGCGGGAATCTTGTTTTTCTTCAGCGTGATACACGTACAAAAATGAGAAGCGGCCAACGGCCCGCGCGCGAGCGCAGCATGGCCATTTGGCCTCGAGAAATTGGGGGAGGATTGTATATGGGGTGGGGTGATCATTAAGAAAAGATAGAACAATATTAAAGAAGCTTTGGGCGACTAACAAATCAAAAGCAACAGATCTGGGTGGAACGCGCGCGGGCGCGGAAAATAAGCTAAATGTGGAGATTAGGAACATGGGCGAAGGCACCAGGCCTTGGCTGAGGTGTTTGTTAGGTGGATTTGGCGAGGACTGGTTGTTAGATCATGAGGAGCTCGTCGTTGGTCCCGACGTCGAGCACCTGATCGTCGTCGGGTTTTGGCACGGACATGCGCAGGCATTCCAGCTCCTTCTTCTTGGTGGCCGAGCAGAGGTCGCCGACAATGTCCTCGACGCCCATCGCCAGATCGGCGGGCAGCGTTTGCTTGAGGATCATGAGATCCGGCACGTTCTTGTGGACGACCTGAAAATAAGGAATTTGTACATTAAAGCAATTTTACGAGCAATAAAGAGGTGGGAAAGCGTAAAAAGCTGCTTTCCGATTATCCGAGCTACTCGCATTTTCGTAAACAACTTGGTTTCGTTTTAATTTTTGTATTTGTTTACTTCGTGCTTCGTCAAACTGGCAACGTGAACACATTCAAAAAAATATGGATTATGGACAAAACGTCAATTATTTGAAGTTTATATATATTTTTTCTGGCGAAAGTTGGTTTAGTAAGTTCAAGTTTACGAAAAACTATTGAAAGACGTTACAAATATAACATACAAAAAAAATGTCAATTATAAAATTCAAATCCGTAATTACGTTACCAGATATCAGGATTTCTAGAAAAACTTTCCTCGAAAATGCATAACCCATCTTAAAAAATGCCACTAAACCACACCTCATTATACATTTGCTCTTGCGCATTTGTCGCCTCACGGTACCGACGCTGCGCCGCACAATTCCGAAGACGTTGGCGCTCTTTCGGGTCGGTGACATTGGCCAGCTCGGGGAGCATGTGTTTTGGCAGTGGTCCCGGGCGGCGAATGACGCCAGCTTCACTTCTGAAAAAAGGAATTGTAGTAGAAGTATAGAATTCATGTGGGTGAATTGTAAAACTTCAAAATTTAATAAATTTGAAAACTAAATACCTACCTCAAGTAATCCTTGTACATATGGGCCGCAATCTCGTGATGGCTCTTCTTATCACGCTCGGCGAGAATCTGGTACAATCCATGCTTGATCGCGTCGAGTCGGCTGCGCGTCTCCGGGTCGAAGCGAACGTCCGTCAGCAGCTGCGTCACCTTCGAGTACACCTTGTCGACGACCTCGCGCTGGTTGATCAGCCGGTTCTTCTTGGCGACACGGGCCCGACGTTGCGTCTCCTTCTCACGCACGCGAGACTCGTCCTCCATCTTCGTGTCCGGGGGCAACGGGTAGCGGGGCGGGCGGCCACGTTTCGGCCTCGACTTGTCGATCGGGCTAAGAGAGGTATACAGCTTTGGTTTACGGCCAAACTTTTTCTCGCGCTCCACGTGCAGGCTGGTGATGGGCGAGGTGAGGCAGGCGCGCTGGCGGATGGTCTTGACGGAGAAGGGGGTGCTGTGGAAGTAGTCGTGCTCGCCGAGGAAATCGGTGGCCACGCTCACTTCATCTCCGATGGGGAGATCGTCTTCCATATAGGTCTGGTAGCAGTCGACCTCGACTTTCGGCTCTGGGGGCAGAAAGGCCGAGAGCCGGATCTGGTCGGGCTGGATGGCCGGCACACGGCGCAGAATTTTTGGGTGCGGCCCCGAGTGGATGTTTAGAGGGCCTTGAGCGGGGATCATCGGGTACGTGCTGGAGTTGCCGCGCATCAGCTGAAATTGAAAAGATAATTTTTTTTTGTTGAATCGTATATTTTTCAGAGGAAAAGAAATTTTCAAAATGTTATATTTAAGCCTCTGGACGGAGAGCACCTATTTACGTAGGCTTTCAAATACTGCGTAAATAGGTGCCTGCGCCACAGGGGTCTGTCTGAACGTACGCTCTAAATAAAGGCAACATTACAATTCATAGTCCGCCAGAAACCCCAAAAATCCTTACCGAGTTCAAACGCTGCGCCCTCTCCTTATCTGGCTGCTTCGCGTTTTGCGAGAAGTTCAACAGCAGCGCCACCTCTTCAGGAAGATCGGGCCTAAAACCAAAGCTCTGAAAATCGAATTATTCATACCGTTTTGAAGGTGACTGTAGACGACGTCCTGTCGCAGAAGGCAATTGTTGCGCATCCTCTTCGCGCTTGACCTTGGCCGGGTCGAAGCGCATCCGGCCGTTCGGCTGAGCAACCATCGGGGTACGGTGACCCAATTCGAACTCGCCGGTCGGATCGGCGCGCACCTCTACGACCACCTTGTCGTTGACGACCTCGGGCTGGAAGGCCTGAAAGAATTTGGTAAAAATTAAAAATGATTTTCACCTCGACGTCGCCTTGAAAATAGGAGACCGAGATCGTTTCGACGTCGATCTCCGAGTCGTCGACCACCATCGGAGGCACTTTGGATTTTAGCATCTGAAAAATGATAGGTGCTATACAAGAAATTGCTCAGGAAGGACACAAAATCAAAATTTAGAGAGAAAACCCCAATTCCGAAAAAATAAAATTTTGCCTCCGGCATCGAAAATCAAGACCATGATATCCGCCCGCTAATGGTAGCATTCACCCGCAAAAATTCTAATAAACTCATTTCTAGAAGATTTAGAAGCTGCCGAGCAAAATTAAACAAATTTACAGAATTTCATGTGGTCATCGATTTCGAAAATAGATGGCGTTATGCTTCGAAAAATTAGTGAAACAAGGCTGGGATCCCTTTTCCTACCCCCACGCTCGCTAAACGATTTATCTACGGGGCCTTTTGCAAAAGATTTTTCAAAAATTCCCCTAGTTTACAGGCGTAACGCCATCGATATTTAGGAGGGGTAATATGGTCGCGTGTACGGGCGGCCCGGCGGTTTGTGTACATCACATAAAAATCGCGGGGCGACGGGCGCGGCGGGACCCCGGCGTGCCGCCCGTTCAAAGGTGAGCACGCCCTGCCGCGCCCGCGAAGTCAAGGTGCCAAGAAAAGAGGGGGAGAGACTAAAGGAAAGAACCTGCGAATCAGAGATGTGGCGCGCCAAAGAGGACGGGGACGATCCCGCAGGCAAATAGACCCTAGGCAGGGCCGGCGAGCAGAGGAGATTGATAGGCAATAAAAGGGGCCGAAAAACGGCACTAGATACCGGGTAGTGGGTGTGAAGCCGTAAATTTTGAGACTAGACGGGAAGCGGCGACTTTTTTCATAAGCGTACATCGCCACTGAATGAATGATTCTTATGTATCCGCTAGAATCGCTAAAAATCTAAAATTCTGGTTTTAAATAAAAAAAAAAACAAAGTTAAACCCTAGCAAAGCAAAAAAAATACGAAAAATCGTACAGGCGATGTTTTTATGATCTTAAGTACGTTTGCTCCAATAAACGAAATCCGTAAGGTGGTGTCGAGCGTACCACTCGAATTCGCGAGAGTGGTTTTCAAGATTTTTCTTTTTTCAAATGTTTTAGTGCATGGAAGGTTCCATCTACAAACCTAAAAATCCATAAAAATCTTTATATTTCAAGAAGCAAAAAACTTCAGAAGTTCTGACAGCTTTTCGTCTTATTTACCTGTCGTTATCAATTGGGCCCCGGGCCAGCCGGCTGTTACAGCACCAGGCGGATTTCTCTCTTCCCTCTCCAATTTAACGCAGCTTTTCCGGCTCCCTCCCCTCATTCCTTACCCCATACATTTCGGTTCATGCTTAGGGCCATCCTCCCGGCCGTTCTCTCATTAGCCATTCTCCATTTGCAGGGCTGGCTTTACGGGTTGGAACATTGATCGCGCGCCGTCTCGCATTATCGGCCTCGTCGCACGGCGCCCTCCTTCGTTCCAGGTGCTTTTTGTTGGGCGGTTTTTTGAGGGGTCCCGGGCCAACGACCGCAGGGATGATACAGTTGTAGCCTGAAAAGGTACAACAATGGAATTTTTTAGTCATATTGGTTTTGGAGAAACACAATTAAGTTGATGCCGCGATTTTCCAGAAATTTTTATCTATTTCCCTGATTTCAAAAATGTTGCAATTGCGCTGCAGCATATTTTTTTGTTTTACCAGCTATTTCGAATCTGTTGAAATAAGGTGTTTACAGTTTAGAATTTCCGGAAAGTTTGATCCAATTCCCTGATTGCATTGTTTGTTTGTCGGTTCTTTTTCGAAGAATCCATGAATTCGCCGAAACCGCGCTTCCTTATCACGCCATGGCGCTATTTTGCCACCTTTGAGCTCCAAAAAACATCCGAGAAAAACCCCCCAAAGGCAACCCATTTTTTCAGGCCTTCGCACTCTACGGGTCTAGGATTTTTCAAGCGTGCTGAAGTGAGGATGTTATCTACGGTAGGTTTTCTTCCTGATTTTTATAGATTTATTTCCTTTTAGCGTGTCGTTGACCCGAACGTCGTCCAAATGTCTTCTGCCCCCGAAGGGAATGTGGCCGAGGTAAACATTTATTAATTTTTATAGAAACAGGTTTCTTTAGGCCGACTCGAAGGCCGTCTGTGATACATGGAGCGCTACGCGACCGTTTGATAGTGTCATGACGCCAAAATTGGAGAGCTTAGGGGTATTTTAATAGTTTTAAAGTATTATAACGATTCTTTAGGATTTTCTCGAAAAGTACCCGGAGAGTGATGGACGAGGGGTGAAGATTGCGATCCTCGACACTGGCGTTGACCCGAAACTCGAGGGGATGCAGGTAAACTTTTGGGTCAGAAAGAATGTTCATTTTGTGTTTAGTTTACCTCGACCGGTGAGCGGAAGTTGATCGGCATCTACGACTGCTCGGGTGCCGGCGATGTCGACTGCTCGCATTCGGTCACCGCAAAAGACGGAAAAGTGACGGGACTGACGGGCAGAATATTGAATGTAAGTTGTAGTTTTTAACTTTAATTAAAAAACTCGCTTAGGTCTCCGCCATCAAGGGGCTGAACAACCCGTCCGGCAAGTTCTACCTGGGCACCAAGCCGATCCACGAGCTCTACGTGAAGGGACTGAAGGCCACGATGCTTGTAAAACTTTTGGTTTTTGAAAAAGCTAAAATATTTTTAGAAAGAGCGCCATCAACCGAACTGGGAGTCGTCCTCCAATCTCGCGCTCGCCAATGCGAGGCGTTTACTCGAGGAGCACGAGAAGGAAGTTGGAGGAAAAGCTTCGGATAGGGTTGGTTCTCCAATTTTCGGGAGTAAAAATTTTTTTAGAAAGAGCGCTTGAAACGAGAGGACCTGGCCTGCCGCGTCGATTTCGTGAAGGACAGCATCAAGAAGGAGGACAAGGGCCCGGTGGCGGATGTGTTGCTGTGGCACGATGGGACTTCTTGGAAGTAATTTTTACACTAAAATTTTATGCTTTTCTTAGAGCTCTTCTCGACACGTCGTTCCGCGGAAAACTCGGCATGTGCACCCCGATGGGCCCGTACGCCGAGAAATATGAATTTGCTGAGGGCACAATTGATGGAGGTACTTAAACAACAACTTTTTAAAGCCTTTTTTGTAGATCAACTCACATACGGCTTCAACGTGTACGCCGACGAGAAGAAGGTGGAAATTGTGACGGTGTGCGGAAGCCACGGCTCGCACGTTGCCTCGATCGCCGCCGCCAATTACAAGGAGAATCCGGCGCTTAACGGGCTGGCCCCGGGGGCTAAGGTTTGTTCTTTTGGTTTTTCTAATCTGTAATGTGATTTTAGGTGATATCGATCTGCATCGGTGATGCTCGGCTCGGGTCTACAGAAACAGGCACGGCCCTGACGCGTGCCTTCAATCTATGCCGTGAACTTGGCGTCGACGTCATCAATATGAGCTACGGCGAGGGTGTGGATTTCGACGATAAGGGGTAAATTTTATGTATGTGTTCCAACTCTTTTGTTTTCAGACGAGTAATCGCCGAGCTGAAGAAGCTGTTGGAGCATGGCAAGACGCTGTTCATCTCATCGGCCGGAAATAATGGACCGGCGTTGTCGTCTGTTGGATGCCCCGGTGGCACGACATCTGGAGTTATTGGTAGTTTTAAAATCGCTTTGAAATAATCCTTTTTAGGAGTTGGCGCCCTGCTGCTCCCTAACCAGCTCTCCCAAATCTACGGCGCCGCCGTCAACGTTGACGAGCCGGCTCCATTTTTGTGGTCAAGCTGCGGACCGGCGTAAGTTTTTATTTTTGTGTATTGTTTCTGATGCGTATTACGTCAAATGTTATTTTTTTCAGCTCTGATGGTGCTGACGGTGTCTCGATTTACGCGCCGGGCGCTGCTTTCGCCGAAGTGCCCAAATACACCCGAAAGTGCAACCAGCTGATGAACGGCACGAGTATGAGCTCCCCGAATGCGGCCGGCGCAATCGGTAGCCACATTTTGTCGAATCTTTTGATTTAAATTTTTTATTTAGCCTGTCTACTCTCCAAAATCAAGCAGGAGGACAAGAATTTTTCGCCCTACGAGATTCGCCTTGGGCTCGAGCAGTCCGGAACGCCGTTGAAGGGCTGTATGGCGAAAATGATGAGGGTTCGTTGGAGGTTATCTGGTTTTTTAAACACTTTTTAGGTATCTGCAGCCTACGACTTCTTGACCAAGTACGAGGATCGGCGGCTGAATTTGCATGACGTGAAGGTAATTTTGCTTACATGGCGTCGCTTTCTTTAACTTTGTAAAGTAATTCTTTTGTTAATTTCAAATAACTTTTTAAAGTAAATTGAAAGTTACTGTAATCCTGGGGTTAGACAAGATTTTTAATTTACAGTTTATTTGACCTTTTAGGTCGCCTGCCGAAGATGGGGCGTGCCCGGCATCGATCGTGGCATCTACCTGCGCGATCACGCCGACTTCCACTCGGGACCACTGAAGTTTACCATCACCGTCGAGCCGCTGTTCACCAAATCGGCCAGTGAGTTTTGGAGTTACATTTCTTATGTTGTTTTTTTAGCTCCAAGTGAAAAGACCAACTTCATGGAGCGATTGACGCTTGAGCTTCTACCTGGCGAGGGCTCTTTACCCCACACTAGCAAGGCCATCACGTGGCAGGTACGAAAATTATGTTTCGACTCTTCAAAAAGAATTTCTAGATCCCCGATATACTCAACTTGACATCCGGGGATTCGGCATTTTCCGTGCTGTTCGAGTACAACCCGAAGGAAGACCAGGAGAAGCAGCATGTGCGAGGATGGGTGAGCTTTACCTTTGCGTTTACCATCCATTTATTTAGATCGGTGGCCGTGACCACTCCGGTCGTATCGTCTTCCGAGTACCGTACACGATTCTGCCGCCTCGCAAGGAGCAAAATTTCGAAATGGAGCTGGCCGCTGGAGTCGTTGATCGTCGCCTCATCCACGTGCCAGAGGACCGGAATATTGCTTGTAAGCAGATGCTCATTTTCAGAATATCGAAAAATCCATAATATCGAAATTAATATGTCGAAATATCTACATTGTGGATTTTTGACGTTGAAGTTGTTTGTCTTCGAAAATAACTTTGTTTTCCAGGCATCCAAGTGAACGCCCCACCCATGGCTGCCAATGAGCGCATCGTCATCCACGGCGTGCAAAATATTCCACAACACGCCTTTCGGGACCATGAACTGTCAAAGGTATCGTAGCGTAATCTTATTAAAAATACATATCTATTTTTAGAATTTCCTGACCGAAAAGGATTCGCACAGCTTCCTGATGAAAGTGGTGCCCGGTCGATCGCTCGAACTCTGCTCGACCCTCTCCACCGTGTCGTACAAGAAGTTGAAGGTCAAGATTGACGTCTCCTTCCACAACTTGCTCCACGAGCCGACGATTCACTTGGTGAGATTTTATTTGTTATTTTTCTTTCTGTATAGCTCGCTCGCTCTCTCTCTCTCTCTACTGTCTCTCTCTCGCTTTAACTACTAAACGGAAAATTTAGACGACCGCGTCTCAAATCAATCGGTTCTTCGTGGAGACTGTCTCCAGCCTTCCCATCGAGTTCGAGCCGGCCATTTCCCTAAAATCGGTAGGCACGGATGCGACTTTCTGAAATTTCCTATTTTACAGATGACAACTTACTACAAGCCGACCGAGATGAAGCTCGAGCCACTGGCGGTCCGTGATCTGTTCGCCGACGGCATCCAGCTGAACCGCATCCAGTTGAGCTACAAAATTAACGGTAGTCGTTCTTTTTAGAAAAAGATAAAGTTCTGCTTCAGTCCACAAAGCCGCGGAACACCAATTCGAGCTGGGAGGCCTATCTGGATACCTCTACGAGAGCCCGTATGACGACATCTTCTTCCAAGTCTTCTCGAACACGAAGGAGTACCTTGGAGGGAGCAGCAGCTTCAAGGAGCGGGTGTGTCAATCTGAAAAATATAGATAAAATTTCTTTTTAGTACCCAGTCAAGTTGGAGAAGGGCGAGTACAAGGTGGTTGTGCAAGTCCGTCATCCAGAAGAAGCGGCGTTGGAGAAGCTGAAGGACGCGACGTTGACGTAAGTGGAGTTTTGCTCTCCCTCTCTCTTTCACTATTTCTCTCTTTCCCTCTCTCGCTCGCTCTCTCTCGCTCTCTCTCTCTCTCTCTCTCTCTCTCTCTCCTAGAAAAACTGTTTTTTTTAGCGTCTACAACAAGCTGGCCGCCGCCGTCTCCCTCGACTGCTACAAGACTGCCGACGCCCTAGCAGCCGGAAACGGCAAGGGCAAGTGGGAGAAGACGATGCTCGCCCAAACGCAACGAGCCACGCTGTTCGTCCAAAATGTCCCCGAAGACAAGTGCGTTTTGCTGCTTAATTACGAAATCGTACTTACAAATTCAGATGGACTAGGTATGAATGAAGCGGAAAATGTGGTTTGTCCGTGTAGTTGTCACTAGCTGCGTGATTGACTGATTTCTTGAGTTCTGGCTCCCCGTTTGCTAATTGGCTTCAGGCAGGAAATCTGCATAATTTGGCTACTATCTTGAATACGCGATTTTTTTGCTGCCTGAAGCCGCTACCCCCTTAATTCTTGTTAACCGGTCGTTTGAAGCTAGCCAGCGTGCAGTATTCATTTTTCTAATATCTTTATGAATTTTCTATTTAGATTGGGCAAGCCATCAGCCGGAGGAACACTGCGAGGCGTCTTCACGCCATTTGGTGGCGAGTGGAAAGATGTAATTCTTATATTTTTTGATGGGGTTCTCTTCTTTTTAGAAATATACAGTACCTGTCGTCGTCCACCTGGCCACCGCCGAGTCGAAGAAGCAGTCGAAGGCCTGCTCGATGGTCGAGCTGGAAGCGCCGAAGAAAGAGAAGGATACGCCGGCTCAGGAATTGGCTAGTGAGTAGTTTATATGATTTTTTTGCACCTTTTCCAGTATCTACTGCTAAATCCGCTTTTAGACGCCCTCCGAGACGTAAAGATCAAGCACTTCGACAAGATGGAAAAGCTGGAAGAGGTGGAAAATCTGTACACAGAGGCGGTCGGCGAAAAGTTCCATCTGCCACTGGAGCTGGCCTACGTCAAGAAGCTGTACGGGTTGGCCACCGGAAAGGTATCGATTGAAGAATTTTTAGTAATATCAATTCTTAGACTGCCGAGGGCAAAGAAGAGGCTGCCGAGCGCTTCTTCGAGCAGGCGACGTCGATTTTGGAGAACTGCAACCCGCAAGAGGTGCTCGCCTACTTTGGAACCCAGAATGCTGATGCTTCCGTGGAGCTGGCGGCCAAGAAAGAGTAAGTAATTTTTGGGATTTTAGAAAATTTTTTGCTTTCAGGGAGTTTGACCAGAAGAAGGATGCCATCATCGAAATTCTCACGCAAAAGGTCTCGATTCTGGCGACCCGGAAAATGGCCAAAATGGACAAGGTAGTATTGGGTTTTACTTAGAAAAATCCTGTCTAGAGCCGAGTCCCGGCCACCTTCCTCGAGACGCCCGTCACTAAAGCCGACACCACCGAGATTCCGGTCGAGGTGAATGGCGACGCTTCCAAGGCGGAGGAGAAACAACCTGCGGTAAGTTATTCTGTAAATTAATCTGAATATATTCAGCAAATTTTGATTTTTTGAGGAGCTAGGAGTCTTGAATTTGAATAATTTTATATAAGGGTTATTTGATTTTTAGGCCGCCCCCGCCCAAATCTCGAAAGAACTCGAAGACGCGTTCGTCGAGTTGCAAAAGTTTGTGCCGTTGGATGATGCAAAGGTATCAATTTTCAAGGTATCTAAGGTCCCGATTCTTCAGATGCACCTCCCGTACTCCAAGTACGCGATGGCCAACGAGTACCACGGGATCGCGATCAAGCTGCTCGAGAAGCACATGAACGATGCGCGGACGAACGGCAAGACGCCCGAGTACGACGAGAAGACGTTGGCCGAGGTGAACCTGAGTTTTTTGATTTTTGAGCTTATTTAAAAAGTGTCATACCGTTAAGAATCCGAATACGAGTTTTGCACGTACAAATACGATTTTACTTGCGCCCCGACCGGAGCTCCCATTAAAAACTGGGCTCCCGGGCGCCCCCTTTCCTCGAAAAGTCAGCACGGGGGCCGCTCCGGCACTGCGGTTCCGGGTTCGCGAACACGGCTCAACGGCGTTGTTTTTGGCCTTTTCCAGCAGCGCCCAAGAATTTCCCCGCGAAACCGTGATTTTCCGTCCCTGTTTTTTGGTGCCCACTCGTTCGGGATGGGGAGATTTTGGATCCCGTGAGTTTTGATGAGTTGGGGCTTGGATGGGCGATCCGGTGATGGGCATAAAAAGTACATAGACTCTTTGAAACCATTGGGCGTTGAAAATGGTTCCTGGTTGCTTGGAAATTGGGGTCGGGTTTGCAAGTAGATGATCATAAATTTTGGGCTAGATTTGGACCGGAATTTTGGTGCCGGGGTTTATAACAGAATTCTTTTGCTCAGCAAATGTTACTATGCATCTCTACGGCCCTATGACACAATAGGGACCATTTTTATAGCATTTTTCGTAGTTTTTAGATATAAAAAAATGATAAAGATTTAAAAAATAATTTTTTCCTTTTTGGTCAAAAAGTATGAAAAATGACCAAAAATTTTTGGAATTAAAATAGATACTGTTTATAACTTTCCGGCATTCAAAACTACTATCAACACTACAAAAATGCAATCCCCCCCGCTAACAGTCTAGCACCGAATACACAATGATGGGAGCTTTTAGCCGGTTTTTAGGTGGCTGATCATCAATTTCGGAGAGAAATTTTACCTGTTTTTCTAATGCTAAAAAATTTCGGAACGTTTTGCATGTTTTGCGGTTAACTACTCCAAATAACAGGATAAACACACGTCATGCTAAAGTCGCCTCCCGGGGTCACGGAAAAACGCCGATCCGACACGTAGTAGTGGGCGGCGCGGCCTTGAACCCGATGCGATCATTTTGTGTGTCAAGTGTGGGGGACCGGGCCCTCGCCCTGTAGAGTTCATAAATCTTGCCGGGAAATTTGGGCCGTAGACTCTAGTTTGGGCGGTGATTTTTGGACTTTGCTGGCACGGGGGGAGGCTTCGCTAACAAAAAAGGGGAGACAAGGGGAGGAAAAGTTACAGTAGACCGTCTTTTACGCCGGGGAAGTGTAGTATGGTCGCTGAAAATTGAAAATTTTTTAGAGGTTTTTTTGGGCGACCAACTGGGTTTTTGGTTGTAGTTTTCGTAGACTCTGCCTATTTTTTGGATTAGCATTTCCGGTTGGCTCGTTGCCAATTGTAGATAGCCCTGATCTACTGGGCCTTCCTTATCCCTTTAAAGACGAAATTTTCCATTAAAAATCACTGCTCAATCTCATCACTGCGTCGTTCCAGTAAAAATTACTTACACAATAGAATTTACATAGAAAAAATTTTAGTTATAAAAGGGTCTGGTTTTTGCATGACGCTAGAATTTTTACACCTTCAATGGCCCTTTAGAATCTTATAATTAGCCTTTTTTCAGCTCGCCAACCTGTGCGGCTGGGACCATTTGGCCACCTCGTTCAAGAACGACCACCTCCACAAGGTGCGCCCCAACTATCGCCCATTCTAGGTTCGCCCAATTTTCCGGTTGTCTCGTAATTTTCCGCTACACACCGCATTTACGCTCCCTTATCCGTCGTGCGCCTTCCCTGATCGCCACCCGTGTGACACATTGTGATGAACATTTTATTGCTTTTCCCGTCGCTCTTTTTATAGATCTGTTTCCCAGACGCTGGTCATCATTACCATTTCACAATTGATAGCAATGACCGTGCGGCCTTATTTATCTTCCCCAGAAAATTTAGTTATACGATTTGTTTCTCGCATGCCCGGCTCATCGAATTTAGTCATTTACACATTGTTTTACTGCGATAAATCTGATTCTGAAGAACGCGAGGCGTGCGGATACCGGATTAACCGCCCAGGTGGAGAAGGCTATCCCGAGAATGTTGTCGTAAATTGGCGGGGATTGGAAATGCCAGCCGGGTGTGTGTTTTGCACCCTGCAAAAATGGCGGAACGAAGGGTTTGGTCGGGTGGATGGGCGGAGCGAGTGCGCTTGATATGCTGGAGGTCAGAGAGTCGATCTGGAGGTTGTAATCGGGTAAAAGGCATGGTACCACCACGTTTTTTTTTAATCTTGCAGAACGGGGTTTGGGTTGCAAAATTGGCTTATTAGATGGAAGAGAATTGTGAGATTCTAGCGTAAAACTTAATAATTAATGAATTTAAAAATAGTTACATTAGAGCGAGCACGTTACTTAATGGTTTCCTGTAGTCGGAATACTGTTAATTTCATTTATCAGCGGCTTAAAATTTACATTTGGAAGACCCATGCAGCCCTGAAAAAATGTCTGTAAACGCTTGTTCGAGCTTAAAAATAACATTCCAATTTTCCCGAGAAACGCGAAGCTTTTAAGTTTAATTGTTAAAATCCAAAAGGCCTAGATAAACTATCAATAGTTCGTTGAAAAATAAAAAATCCCAAAGCATTTCAAAGCATTCAAATAGTTTGAAAAGTTTTCATTTCAGGCAATGTTAATTTTTTATTTTGACTGTTTTACTTTTTTATGACCTTTTCCTGGTTTACTGAGGTACTGAAACAAGCTAAAAACCAGTATTAAAAGACGCGAAAACAACCAGAACAAACTCTAGCTCTCAAAACTTCAGCCCCCATATCGTGAAATCGGCGAGCCGGCTTGGCGTCATTGTTGTTGATCGAAAGGCCCCGGATCAATGGTGCTTTCACGCCGCCGATGCCAGCTAGAGCGCCACAAAATTTATGCGTCCTGCCAGGGGATGCGGGCGGCCGACTGGGCACTGAATTTTCGTGCATCAAGATGAGCGATACACAGCCGACAAGAGCCTAGTTTGCATGGCGAGGTGTGTAGTCCGGCCGATCGATCGATCCGTGCAGGCTGGTTGGCTGGCCGAGAAGGGGGTTTGTCCTTTTTGGGTTCGTCCTCCTCCACCGTAAGTCCTCGTCTTTTCGGGACCGTAAAAAGGCTGCTTCACCTCGGGTTGCTGTGGAAATCTAGGATGGCTGGCGATTGGGGGTCGGTGCAGACTGCACGAAGAACTTTTCGTAAGAGATGATCCTTCGGTAGGGTGGTGAATTGTGCCGATTCGCTCCGGGCGGACTTCTTGCTCGCTCAATTGAAATTTTCTGTCGGCTTCTCGCGCGCTCCTCTCTCTCTCTCTCTCTCTCTCTCTCTCTCTCTCTCTCTCTCGCTCTCTCTCCTCTTTATCTCACTCCCTCTCTATCTCGCATGCTCTCTCTCTGTTTTTCGCTGGTTTAGTTTGTAACTTTCGCTGCGAAATGGCACAAATTCTCGATAATTTCTGAGCTTCAGATTCTGCAAGGTAAAGTTTAAAGCAAACCCTCTTAATTCCGAGCACCACCTCGGTCAGGTTCCGCGTTTTTGAACGGTCACGATTTTCAAGCTCATTTCGCAGATTTTACGCTTCATCAAGTGCCTAAACTTCCCCTGTTACATCTACAGTAAGCCCCCATCGAGCCTCAATTTTCTGGTCTCCCTCACTTCTGCACGTTGACCCAATGCATCGGCCCGGTTGGGCTTCCTTGACTTTTTTTTTTTAATAAACATCCTCCCGACCGGCTGAACGCTAAAAGCTTCCGCTTTGCGATAAAGTTTTCTATGTCCGGGTCGGCAAAATTTGGAGATTTGGAAAAATATCTTTTAGAAAGCATAAATTGCGCTGCTGAGGTTAATTTTGCGTCACCTCCTCTGTTTTTTAATTATTAGCCGGCTTCTGCTCGTTTTGAGTTTTTTTTCTGCTGGCCCTTTCCCTTTAAGACCCTAATATGTGGGCGACGTTTTCATCGGAGCTTCGGTGCGGAGCTTTTGCATTATCGGGGGGGGGGGGTGTACTGGGACAAAGAGTGGATTTTTCCATAGGATGCACTTTTCTTAAGGGCATAGAGGAAGTTTTTCTAAACTGTTTTTGGCCTTTTTTAAGCATAAACACTTTCTAAAAAATAAAATGCTTTTCTAGGGCGATTTTCACGAAATTTGTTAATTCTTCCTTGCTGTTCCCCGACCCCCCCCCCGTAATGCAAAAGAACCGGAACTGCAGTCTGCCATTAGAAACTGGAAAATGGTTTTTGGAAGTAATTTAATTACACCTTTCTGTTAAAGAGCACGTTCAGGGACGTTTTTTTGGAAAAAAGCAAAGATTTTTGCCGCGGCCGGGGGTCGAACCCGTGCCTCCCGATCGGGAGACGCGGTCGCATACCAGTCAGCCACAGGTGCAACCCGCGAGGGGGCGAGTGGCGCCCCACGCCGCAAATGAGGGAAATGGCCTGTCACAGCACGGGCAGGCAGTGTGCGCGCGGTCCCTACGTCCATAGGGTGTACACGTTGGTACGAGTACACGGCCCCTCCCTGAACGTGCGCTTTAATGCCATTATATCTAAATTTTGCAGGATTTTGAGATTTTTCTGCGGTCATCTCCCTTTCAACATCCTATACCATTGCGGTGATAACATCCTGAACGCGAGTCACCACGGCCGCTCACTGGCCTATGGCCTCACGCCGCTCAATTTATCCTATCCTGGGCCAATTTTTGACGGCCGGCGTATCTCTGTCCGGGTGTTGTTCGACTAATCGGGGCAATTTCCATTTCCCTCGGGAAACAATGGCAGAAAAGCGGGGTGGCGGCGGCCGCCCAATATAAATCTAGGGATCGCAGGGTGTACTTGCACTTTGCAGAAGTTATTTGAGCTTGTGGACATCGTGAAAGTTTAGGTTTTCGTGAGAGAAAGAAAGAGAGAGAGAGAGAGGCAGATGACGATCGAGAACTCATTTCGTCCTCCATTCACCTGTTTAGGGTGGAAATTTCCTGAAATTCGTCAAAAGCGTAAACAACCCCAGAGCCTTGAGTGAAGAGTAAGAATGCGATATGAGTAGATGTGTATAGTAAATGAGTAAAGTAAGATTCTAGATCCCAGTACCACAAATTGTAAAGCATTTCTCGAGAAGTTTTTGGTAAACTTTTCTTGAAATTTGGAAATCGGAATTTTTTAATAGCGAAATCTTGCTTTCTGCGTCCCTAATTTTATCCGGAAAATCGCTCCGGAAAGTTAAATTTATGTGAAACCGTTAACTTTCCGGAAACGATACCCTTAAAAAGGTAGCACTCCAGATTTCTCTCTCTCTCTCTCTCTCTCTCTCTCTCTCTCTCTCCTTCGGGCTGTCTCTGTTTGATCTGGAACATAACAGGTATTATTGGTCGCTAATTCCATGTTTCGAAACCACATTCTATCCTCGTCATATTTTTTATTGTTGTTAATAAGTAACTTTTGTACTTACATCTACCCGCAGCCTCTCGTGCTTTCTCACATGGCCCCCGGACTCCATCGGTAAAAACTGAGAGCCCGCGGGGTTGAAGTAATTTGTAGCGGGAGAGTGTGTTGTGTTCTGTTCCCTTCACCGGGGCCATGGTCCCTTTCCTTCACTGGGCCCTAGAGTCTTGGCCCCGCTCGGGGGCTAATGAGGGGGTTGGGGCTGGGGCACGTGGGGGTGGGGCTTCCTGCTTTTCCGCTTTCTCACCCGGCGGGCTGGACCTCAAAAACCGCGCGTGGAGCGGCCGAAACGGCAAGTACACTGTTTTGCAGCTGCAAATCAGGCTTCTCGGCATGAAAATTGTGTTTTCAAAGATGAAGACTAGAATTGAGTCTCGATTCGAGCGGAAATCAGCTTCACGTGATACTTACCGTAGCCCCCCATTACCGGAATTCGGTAGGTGGCAGGGGAGCGGCAGTTCTACCGTAGCCTGCCCGATTTTTGGTCGGTTTTCAGTGACTTGTCATGAGAATTTTCGCGGAAACACGGAACAGAGAGGAAATTGGCATTGAAGATAGTGCGAATTTTTTCACTAGACTGTGAACGGACGTTTTCGGATTTCCAGGACCAGGGTATACTGTAGTTTCACGTCTTTTTAGCGGAAGGCGGAAAGTCGGGAGCGTCGAGAATCTGACAAAATTCAGTGGGAATCCATAGTGTAAAAAATTTACGAATAGCATACTAATACCGGCCGCTCAGTTTAAAGGGGTCGGCAAGTCAAGTCTATGGTTTTTCAAAGGATTTTTCGCCCTGTTGTTTTGGTCACGGGGCGTTTGGATTCCGAGCAGCGACTCATTTACCTGTTTTGTAGGCCCTCGACGGGTTCGAGAAGTACTCGCTCGGGGGTTTCCTGAAAATTGGTTGTGATCGCGCTGGTTCCGCAAATTGTTTCCTGATATCTTGCACCTAGATTTCTTGGAAAGGAGTAGATGACCAAGAACACGGCGCGAGTGTTCGTTCTAGTTGATCACAGAATTTTTGGATTCGACGCGCGAACACGCGAGGCACACGCGACGTGATTGGCTAAAAAATGTAAAAATACGTTTTTTTACTGCGATGGATGCCTCCTTGATTTTCCAGATTCTTCGGCACGAGACGCGCGTGAATTGGTACCTTTTCGGGGTCATAATCCATTATGCAACCAAATTCGAGTAAGATGCGTTGCGTGTCGCGGCGATAAATCGGAACAGAATCGAGTTTTC